AGCAGACAATGTGGATATGTGTAAGGGTTGGGGGCATGGACATTCGGAAAGGTCCATACTACGCAAGGCGGGAGGTGGCCGGGTTCCTCAGGAAGGGTAAGGAGTTCACCGTCGTCGAGGAAAGGGCTTCGTGTGATGGCATTTTGAAGGCAGCAAGGGCTGGGTTTTCTCAGCATCCAGATCCGGCACGTTTTGCCATCGCGTGATGGCTGATACCCGCCAGCGCGGCTGGACAAGTTCAAAGGATACCTGGAAGGACTCTTCTTCCACATGGGCACCGAAACCTATGGAAGACACTTGGAAGTGGGACAAAGAAGACAAGCAAACATGGCAATGGAAAGATGCGCCGAAATGCATATCCTGGCGGCTGGGTTGCATGTTGGACACACGCAAGCTTGCTGATGATGTAAATGTGTTGTGTATATGTGTTACATTTTGTTACCATATGTTCCAGTGTTATCAACATGCGGCGACCCTTCAGGAGACGATGACTACTATGGCTATGGAAATTTTCGAAGCTATCAACGTCGGTGAGCTGCATCTCGCCATCCGTACTGAAACTTGCATGTTGGCCAATGTGCCCGATGCGAATTCATTCCGCTGAAAAGTATTTGAACAGCGCTGCATGTGCTGCGGACAAGAATAGCAGCAACATCCCCAATTTCAAGTGGAAAACGGTTGGGCATGCAGCTGTGGGGTGGTTCTGTTGGCAATCGTCGTTGAAGCTCAGCCGTGCCGCAGCCACGAGCCGGGTTCAAGTCCCGGCCACGTCACCTCTCGTATCTGCATTGAAGGTGCGGATACCGAGGCCATGACGGAACTGATCAACAAAGTCTTCGATGGTCTGCGTGATGCGCTTCTCGAAGCCCTTAGCAAACAGAGCGAGGAGATCCAGAACTTGCGCACAGAAGTTCAGGCCAAGGATCTCGAGCTGGCCAAGATCAAGGCCGAGATCCAGGTGATCAAGTCGAGGCAATTTGATCCCATACAGCTCGTGCTGGATGTGGAACACCTCAAGCAAGAACTGCGAGAATTGAAAGGTTCCGATGAAAAGGGAGGGATCTGCGAGGCGGCCAACTCCACCCTAGCATCGCCGGCGACACCGAACCAGCTGGAGAAGCCGAAGCTGCAGCAAGTGTCGCTGCCGAGGAGCCTTGCGAGGGCAGCGCTTCTCTACCGCAAGGTGGCACAGCGCGTGCCGGAAGCGGGGAGTCACTGCCCGGAAGAGGTGCTTCCAACGCTGCTCGATAGAGAGCGTGCCAGGGACACCAGCGTTACGAAGACAGCCTATCCAAAACACGACCAAGAGCAGCAGACGATGTGGAAGTGTGTAAGGTTTGGGGGCATGGACATTCGGAAAGGTCCATACTACGCAAGGCGGGAGGTGTTCGGGTTCCTTAGGAAGGGTGAGGAGTTCACCGTCGTCGAGGAAAGGGCTTTTGTCTGATCGCATTTTCCTACGCATTGAAGGCAGCAAGGGCTGGGTCTTCTCAGCATCCAGATCCGGCACGTATTGCCATCGCGTGATGGCTGATACCCGCCAGCGCGGCTCGACAAGTTCAAAGGATACCTGGAAGGACTTTTTCCACATGGGCATCGAAACCTATGGAAGACACTTGGACATGGGACGAGGAGAACAAGCAAGACTGGCAATGGAAAGATGTGCGTCGAGAAGGTTATCCCGGCGGCTGGGTTGCATGTTGGACACACGCAAGCTTGCTGATGACCCGAATGTGTTGTTTGCATTTAATACATTTTGTTTTTTCGTGTTTCAGTGTTTCCAACAGCCGGCGACCCTTCCGGAGACGATGACTACTATGGAAAGTATAGAAGCTATCAGCGTCGTTGAGATGCATGTCGCCAGTCGTACTGAAGTTTGCATGTTGGCCAATGTGCCCGACGCGAGTTCATTCCACTGACAAGTATTTGAACAGTCCCGCGTGTGCTGCGTACACTGGGAGATCTTCCCAGTGCAGTTGCTTGTGCTCTCCAACAGTGTAGCGAAGCTTGCAGAGCTCGTTCTACGGAATGTGCATATATGAGTGTGAAAGTGGATTGAGGGCATACAGCATCAGTATAAGGCTCATTTCCTTCTCGGCTCGTCTTGGTGCAGGTGCATCACTGTGGATGCTGCAAACGTCCTCCTGCCAATCAAAGCCGGGGAGCCAAAGCCCGTTGAGATCGGTCAGGGCATGTGTTTGCCTCAGCGATCTGTTGCTGTGCAGAGCCCTTGGCCCAGCACCATGGAAACTTTGTGTATTTTCCATCAGCCTGCAGGTACAGCTCGATGTGGGGTGTCGAATTTGGCACAGGCTCTTGCATCTTGGCGGAAAGGGCAGAAAGGCAAAGAGGTGAGCAGATTCATGTCATGCTCTTATTGCCGGCAGCCACAGCCACGAAGCAATTGTCAAGCTACATGTCGCGCAAGTCAGGCTTGACGTTGCATCCGGACGGCTTGAAGACCTACAATGTGCCTGGTCTCCTGACTACAGTCCTGGCCTTTCCGCACTGCTTCGGAACTCGAGCCGGCCCGATGCCATTGTAGCACCGCGCAAAGGCCTCCCCGATGGACACCTTCAAGCAAACGTCACAGAGCCAAAGCCTTTTGCAAGTCTCGTGAACATGCGAGGATCATTCCACGCAGTGAGAAGGGTGCGATGACAAGGTCCATATCATTGGCTGGACGAGCCGCCAGACCCAAGACACTTCACAATTACGTGCTGGCACGGGGCTCTGCATCTCGGAGTGCGATTCACCAGCCACCTGTTTCGAAGTCAGGTTCCTCTGGCCCCTCAACCAGTTCGATTCTTCAGAAACAGTTGCTTGGCTGCCTCCGGAGCTTCGGCTACGCACGGATTTGGTGGCCAATCTTGAAAGGCCAGAAGGCAGTGCGTCCTGTTGCAGAGCTCTCCGTCCGTCCCCTACATTACGGCTTGGCATATGCCTAGCCTGATCCCGGATTTGTCCAGACCAAGACCGGCTTGTGGTCTTCTTGTGCTCTTGTGCGGAGGCCAGAAAGGCTCACACAGCTGTATGTGGACTTCGAGACGGATCCAGAGGGAGAGGGCGTTTGGACCCTGATCGATCACACCAGGCGCAGACGGCAGTTGCTGAAGCTCCTGCGCCTACCCTGTAGCCTGTATCCACTGTACCCTTGAGGACCAAGCGCCCGATCAAGACGCCCCAGCTCCATCCCGGCTGGCATTTGTCCCTTGGCTGCATGCTGTGCAGGTGGAGGCTTGCGCACGTCAAAAGGGTGGCGGTCGCACTCAGGCTGGCGCTAGTGTCTTCCACGAGCCGCAGCCCTTCACAGCCCTTCGAGGGAACGAAGCTCTTCCTCGACGACTGGTGCAAACAAATGAAGAACGTTGCTGGGCTAGACGGACTCGCATGCTGTGCAAGCAAGTTCAAGGCATGATGTGTTGTTTGCTTCCATCCGTCATGGACTAGCCCCTGCTACTGGCAATGTCCTTTTGACAACATCTTGACACCTCTTTGCCCACTCCAAGGTGTGGGTGGACAGCTCAGCATGTTGAAGCGTCTTGTAGCGCCGGCGGGCACTGCACACACCCTGAGATTCTAAATGACTTCTACATGGTCGGCAACGACTCGGCGGCTGGAGGTCCTCTAAGTTTCGAAGTACCAGCGAGGGGCGAAGCGGTGAGCCTTCCAAGGGCGCAAGCCTTTTGGCATGATGGCCGACTTCCGCATCTACGCTCGCAGCCTTCCAGATGACCAGGCCCCGAATCTGTTTTTGCTCCGTCTTGGCCTTCTTGTACGCTCCATTACACGCCTAGGTGAAGAGCATGGTCGTTGCTACCAACACCGAGGATCACCCTGATCGGATTGTGCGATGCTCACGACGGCTTTCGAGTCAAGGGCGGGTCGTGCAATGTTGCCGAAGGCCCGACGCCTGGCCAGCATGGATGCTGCAACAGTCCTGGCGCAGCGGTTGGACGTCCCTGACACTGCAGCAGAATGCCGGACACTGAAAGCTTGCATCCAGATCCTTCGTTAGGGAATCGTCTCTCATACAAGCTTCTTGTCTGACCATCAATGTATTTTCTGGCGGCAGGCTTACGGGCTTTGGGCAGTCTAGCTACGCTGTCTTCACAGAGGGCCTGCTTCTCAAGTTCCTGTGGAAGAGCTGCTGGCACATGGTTCAGCTTGGCTTCATGGAGGCCAAGATCTTCAATGTTTGTGGGCGCAAGCTCATGCAGCTGATGGACTCGCCGCTCCCGATGGTGCAACGTCAGGCATCGGACTCGGCAGTAACGGTCGGGCTGTGCTGGGCTGCAAGGTGTTCCTCGCACTGTCGTCAGGCGAAGCGCCTCATCAACAATCTGGCTTAGTCTGGTAGCTCGGAGATAGTTGCGTACTCCAAAGTGAGTAGCATTGTGCAGACCCCAGATCGGTTCGATTCCGATGTTAGCGTCGCAATACTAGCCTGTACGGACGGCAAAGTCCTTTTTCGACGGATGCACCATGACGCTCTCAAACAGAGACGGACTCTGAACCGGACATGGTGCAGCCGTTGGCCATGCAGGCGTGGTATTCCCAAAGCTCATCCATGCCGATAGCATCTGCGGGGCAAGAATGAGTCCACAGCATGCTGGTTGCAGAAGAGCTGCATCCGCAAAAAAATGGTAGCAGACCGCTGCCACAAAGCAACACGTTAGTGCAGCTGTGATGGTTCCCCCGACCGAATTAGCAGAATTGGTGCCCATTCCCGGTCGACGGCCACCATGGCGTGACATCATGAAAGGCTCAGAAGTGCACACTGCGCACCCCACCAGCTTTGTCTTTAAAGGTGTGATGTGCTACTCGGACAATGGTCTACTCCAAAGACTTCTTAAGAAGAGCAGCGCGTAAACCCAGCTTTCTCACTGCTTCGCTTGGTGATAGGGTGCATACAGCGAAGCAGGCATCTTGCTCTTCAATGTCGAAACTACCGGAAAGCTGACTAGCTTCTCCAGAACCATGACATTTGCTAACACGCGATGCCCGAGAGCCTGCCGGCAGAGATGAGTTGCTCCCCCAGTTATCGCGGAATATCGCGGAGCTTTGCAGCTGTCTTTCCTTCGGAGATTGTCGGGACCAAGTGAGGTGCTTTCATCTGGCATGAAAAGGAGTCCCGGCGCACAGCCCATCAACGCCGTAAGCAGGAGCCTGGATCTCAGCGAGACCCCGAGACTTTGTGCTCCATCTACTGCAGATACCAAAGGCGGGAAGTCAAGGCGCAGCAGACGCAGGCTTTTCTCTCCAGCTGCAGCCCCGGTATCCTGGCAGAGCGGAGCTGAAAAGTTCTCTCGAGCTGAGATGTGACGAGCGGCGTGGAGCCACCTCCTTTTGGCCGGCTTGTGTTCGTGTCGCCAGCGTTTCGTCCATTTTCGCCCGGATGGCCTTGGCAGATCTCGTGCTCGACCAGAGTGAACGGCGCCTCCGTGTCCCGTCCAGCTGCCAAAGCCCCGGCCTGGCCGAAGCGTTGAGCCGCGAAGCCGCGTCGTTGCGTGGCCTAGGCATGGGCATGGTCATCGGCAAGAAGGGTGGGCTTGCTCTTTCTTGCACTCTGGGGGCCCGAGGACGAAGAAGCCTCTTTCAACAGGTGAGCACCTGAAGTCAATCGAAAAAGACTTCAAAGTCGGGGACTTTGCACAAATGAGCACTGAAATTCCTGGACAGCTTCCGGCTTCAGCAAGATGAGGTAACTGTCAAGATCGAGAAGGATGATGCAAGCACGAAGACTCAGTCGACAATCAGTAGTGGTCGTGAAACGTATTCGTCTCTCCCCCACAGAGACACACAGACACAGAGACGTCCTTGTCGTGGGCGTCCGAGGCTCTGACAGCATCCTCCTCATCTCGGGCTCCTCAGCAGCGGAGCTGGCTGCGGCCGTGAAGCCTGTTGCCTACGCTGCCTACGCTCCTCCTTCACCTTTAACGGGAGCTCATGGAAGCCCTTTCAACTCAGGGCGCTGGACTTCGACAGCAAAATCCTGGAGGCTTCCGACTCGCTCCCTCTTCGCAGTGCAAGGATCTTTGTGAACAGGTGCCCAAAGAAATCGCAGGATGGGTATGCGGCAAGCCAGGGCTTCAGACAGCGGGCTTTCCTCTGCTTGTCCTCTCCGTTTGCTTCGAGGGCTGGCCGGCATTTGAAGCTCATCCGGGAGATGACCGGTGTAGCGGTGCTTGCAGCTCAGCTGCGGGCGGCGGGAGCTAAGGCATGCTGCGCCGGCTTCTTCCAAAGATCCCCTTCTGTTTTCAGGTTGAGCATGAAGGATTCTGCCGAAGCCTCCGAGGCTCAGGGAGAAGCCCACGGCCGATGACCCATGAGACCCTTGCAGCAGTGACAAACGGAGCAATTCAGATTCTCCGCGCCAAGGTGATGGGGCGAACCCGTCACGATGCTCCCTGGAGATCAAAGGCAGCTCTCATCCCGTCCCCTCAGAGACCCAGCGGCGACGGCCTTAGAAGGTCTCCGGGAAAACGTGGAGGATGCAGCAATGTGCATGGAGGCCTCCGTCTCTTTCCAGAAAAAATCGGATGACAGCGGCATCGCAGTCCCCGAAACATGCTCTGATTCTCTGATAGGCTCACATGAGCTACCACTCAGTCTTTCAGGAGATGGAGCAGGCACTTCAGTCGGCACATGTGATTCAGGCATGAGCGGTTCAGGCACTTGACAGAACGGAAAGCAACTCAGGGTTCGGTTCGTGTGACTTGACTACTTGACTAGAAACTCGTATGCCCCAGAATCCAGCATTCAGGCTTCAAGGTTTCGGGTTCACAGCGCCAGGCCTCTGAGGTCTAGGGCTTCTTTGCTGTTCCGACAGTTCGAGACTTGAGATGTGGCGTCCACGCTGCTTTTCAGGAGCTTCTTTCGATGTGTACTTTGTATTATTCTGTGTTCAGATCTGCTACTTTCTTTTAACGGTCTGCAGGGCTTTGGGATCGCAGGCCCGGGTCTCGAATCTTCGAGAGTTGAGCATCTTTTGCAGGAAAGCAAAGGGGGAATTTCTGGCGGTGTGCAATTCTATGCGCTGGTTGCATGAGCGCCGTTTGTTTCTGGAGTATAGAGCTCTTCCCTGTGCTGCTACCCACAGGTGGAAAAAGAGCTTGACCAACGGATAGCAGATGCACGAGGGCCTGAAGCTTGGTTGTTCCGCTTCGATTGCTGTGCTCTTTGCTGGTATCTGAACTGATGAGTTGCCATGTAAAACAGTGGGATTCCTGCAGGCGCCTTTCCAGACGGGCCGTGTCCTCCGGGCCGAACTCTCAAGCAGCTTTCGAGCAGCACGGGAATTTGTTGCAGAACAGGTATGTCAGTATGTGCAAATGTGCAACTGCTGCTCGCGTCTTCCAGAACTGAGGACTGGAGGGTCGCAAGCACGGTCAGCCCTTGGAGGCTCGGCAGTGGAGGGGTGTCCAGTGTCCATGGTGCTTCTGCAAGCCTCAGCGCCCGGTGCACAGGTGCGAAGGGAAGGTCAAAGTCTCCAGGCAAGCGGCAGTGGGGGGCCCAGCCGGAAGGCAGCAACAAAGGGGAATTTTGAATTCCTTCTGTCAGCTCCCAGGCCCAAAGGAGGTGCCGAGCCTGCGCCAGCCCCTGCAGCTCGACACTCGCTTGAGGGAGCGGCAGTTTTTTTTTGTCGGGGTCCGCCCGTCGGAGATTTCATGAGGCGAAGCAGGTGAGCCGGTATCTCGGTGTATCGCCAGAAACGATGGTCTGTGAGTGTGGGCAAGAGGCGACTACCACGCTCTTAGGAACGGGGCGCATCTGGGCTGGTGGAGCCGCCGAAGGCCGGGGCCCTTCAAATGAACGTAAGAGGATCCAAATAGCAGGATGTAATGCTGCCCGTAGCTGGCAGCTGGCATGACAGCACACATTCTCCTCTGTGACACCGCGGGGTTTCCCGGACTATTGTTTCATTCCCGCTTTCCCTCGACCAGGTTCGGTCGCCAATCCGGCCACGAGCCAAGCAGAGCTGCAGACTCGCAGACTCTGCTGTTTCCCTTTACAGTGATCTTGGGAGGTCCGTGCAGCCAAAGGGCGAGGTTGGGTCCAGCAGACATTTGCAAGGGGCTGCAAAGACCCTTTCTGGTACATCCGGGCTGCAGGACGAGGGCGTGGTTACTTCAGCAGTGCCATCGGAGCCAAGCAGTGAACAAAAAGGGCACATGATGGCACATGCTGCAGGCATCAGATGATGTTTGCTAGGAACAACAGGCTGCTCTCACCGTCCTCTCACCCTTTGCAGCTGTTCCAGGCACAGGCCAACACATGAGACAAACGATGAGTAGGTAGCAGCTAACATCGACATCGACATGTCTCGACGACGAGCTTCAAGCAAGAGTTCGTAGCTTGATCTTGGCCCTTTCAGCAAGTGGCCATGGAAACAGGGGCTGCGCATGTCCAGCTGGAGTGTCGACTGTGTTTGGCCACAGAGAGAGATGGGCCAGAGGGCTTGGAAGCCCGGCTATGCTTCCCCTGCAACTGCCGAGCACCCGTCCACCACGGATGCTTAATGCAGTGGCAAAGGGCTCAAGAGGAGCAGTTTGCGGAGCGACACACTTTCGACGAAGTTCAAGCTCGCTTAAACACCTGCGAGGTTTGTGGAGCCAGGCTACTGCTGGAAGAGACCCCCTCTCGGTCACAACCGCAGCTTGGTTCGGCGGTCTGCCGAGCGCAGGGGGGCACGCAGAAAGTCGCGCTCCGCCGAGTGCCAACGCTGTCTCGGGCAACACGAAATTTCTCCGAGTTCTCTGCCTCAGATGGGCAGCAGCTTGAGGTTCTCGAGCAGGACGTTACCGGGGAGTTTTTTCGTGTACGTGCGCTTGGGGCGAAGCGCTATCGAGGAGAAGGTGTCACGGCAGTGGCGGAGGGCTGGATTCGACATGTCTACTTGGATTGGCAGTCTGGAGTCTCACTGCCGCCGCCGCGGATGCCACCTGCATTCCTCGCTGAAGGTACGGATCGCTTAGGAGCGGATGCTGCAACTGCTCAGGACAGTGTTTCGCAACAGGACGAGACATGAGCACAGCGAGAAAAGCGTGAGGTGAGTCTTTTCTCGCTGTGTTGGGAGCCGCGCATGCCGCGCTTTGAGTGTTGCAGCTGGCTCAAAATCGACACTCGGCTACCTTTGCCTTCTTTAGATAAGACATGGGATGGAGCAATGTTGACTCGCAGAGAACTCACGCAGAAGTCTCCAATCAAGAGACCTTGCACCCGATCATTACCGCAAAGCGACAAGCATCCGCGATGGCCCAGACAGTCATTACGACCCAACAGGACGCGCTGGGCCAAGCGCTATCGCGCACACACAAGATTGGGGACATCCTTGGCTGTTTTACGTTCGGCAAGGCAGCTGTCTCAAAAGAGGATTGCTGCCAGCAGGCCTGCACATGCTATGGCTATGGATGTTTAAACAACAAAATAGCTTAATTGGCTGTTTAGCTGTCAGGATCGCCAGCCGAGCATTTATGAGCTCTTGGATGAAGCTTGGGTGCAGCCGGTGAGGTGTTTCCCTGTGGACGCAAGCTTTTGCGAAGCCAAGGAGCTGATCAGTTTTGATCGATCCACACTGACCAAGGCGCGTATGCTTGCTTCCTGTCCTCCCTAAGTTCGTGTTCATAGGGTTATCAAGAAGGAATACGTCGCAGGGCTGCGCACGAGCTCGTAAGCACTGGAAAGCGAAACTATGCAGATCCTCGCCGTGTGTGCCTCCACGTTGCTGCTCGTCAGCAGCATGTTGATCTACCAGGAGGCTGAAGCAAGAGATCATGTGCCTCAGAATGGTGGAAGCCGAAGGTCAAAAGCGAGTTGTTTGTCGGGCCGCAGGTCGCTGCTGGTCGGACGGACCTCGCGATGATCTATGGAGGCTTCCAATCTCGACGAAGTGTTCAGAAGCACGTGCGGTTCTGGAACAATGGCACGGCCACGACGACTTCCTTCTTCCTGCTTGCGCCAGTTCTTCTGTTTGTGATCGTATGACCGAAAGGCTTCTTCCTCTTGGTGATTGGATTGGTTGCCTCTGTCCGACACCCGATTGAAGCTGTCGTAGAATTAGCCCTATTGAATCTATAGGGCTAAGATGTGCTCAGGTGGCCTTTGTTCTGCACGAGACCTCGCAGTTGGAGGTGGCAGCTTGACGCGGGCCTATTGGCTTTTTTCTGCCTGATCATTTGCCAGGCGGTGCAGAAAGCTGAGAAAAAAGGCGAATAAGGTCTCAGCAGCGCATCTGAAAGACGCGTTGCGGGACTGATTGTAGAGCGTTGTAGCGTAGGACACCAGGAGGCGAGCGGTCTCCGCTGTGACACTCGTTGGAGCGACGTGTTCGACGAAATCCGCTGCCGCACTGACCCGACCTGACCTGTGGGGAGGTGAGCTGGCTGCGACTTTACCCGCCCCCGCCCCCCACCAGCAGAAGCACTTGCTGGCTCAAGGGCTGCCGATACATAATCATGTGAATGGACAGTTTTTCGGTACACCAAGTCGACCTCCGATCAGCACAGCCATGCCTTAGCCCGGGACGGTTTTGAAACGAGTTGCTGCAGTCAAGGAGATAGAGATAGAGGTTCGAAGCATGCGCGCCATAACTGGCCAATCCCGGTCGGTAAGCCAGATTGGAGAGGCTGGCTCGGCTGGCTCCCGGCACGTGGTCATTGACTTATCCAATGACCACACTGGCGTCGGGGCGGCGCGACGCGGGACATCTCCGGTGCCCTCGCCGATGCCTCCGCCTCCCTTCGTGGCATCCTCGCCTTTGCGGGGTTGGTGTGGTGCTGCCACACCCATGACTCCATGTCCGCCGCTGTCTGCTCGGGATATATCTCGAAGCACAGCTGCTGTTCGCGTCCACACTCCAAACGGGATCGCTTCAGCTGTGCGCGTGAGACAGGTGCCCTGCTCTAGACGAGTTGCCTCCCTGAGAACACGGAAGGATAGTTCTGATTCGCAACCACCAAGACAGAGAGAGTGAAGGAGAGGTGGCATTGAGTAAGCTCGATGTGAGAGCAGCTTCCATAACGTTTTGATGCTTTGAGGCATACACCATGTTGCACGTTTGGCAGGCACACTCCCCGACACCGCTGATGTTTGCAAGACATGCTGTCTCCGCCGTCGTTGGGCAAACCGTCGGATATCCCGCAGCGGCGACTCCTCCCATTCGACGAGGTCTTTTCGAGTATGCCTTGGCCTCGCCCCGGCGCCTGGCGCCCCAGGGGCCCCAGGTGCCCCAAGGGCCCCAGGAAGCCTACGGAGCCGCCCGACCGGTGGCAGTCTTTAGCCCAAGACACGTCACTGCCGTCAACGGGGCTTCTCGCTTTCAACAAGTTCCTACGGTGACTCCGCCAAAGCATGCGCCATCTACGCCGCCGGCGGACGGTACTGGAGCTTCTGGGGCAAGGCATGCCCTGGGAATGCGCAGATTCCATGTTTAGTTGAGCACCTCAGCCTCAGCTGCCGTGCAGGACCCCGGCGCCACCAGCGCCAGCGCCGACACCAGCTACGCCACCAGAGCCGCCAGCCCCTCTTCCTGCACAAGGTCAAGAAGAGGAGCCGAACCAGCTGGTTCCTGGGTCCGTGCCTCAGCCATCGCAGAGCGGTCTGGGCTGGTGTGCTGTCGGCTGTATCATGCCCGCGGAGGACGCAGCTGCAGGTGGGGTGCCTGCATCTTCGATGTCAGGAGTTATTAGGTGCCTACGTCTGCAGTTTTCCACGATCGTGTGCAGTCGAATGCTCATGACCTCCGCCTGACGATCTCTCCACAACCAAGGAAGCGGTTCCTACAGCACCGTGTGGTTGGCACAGGCTAGGCTAGACTGTTTGATTTATTGAAGGCTTATAAGAGTTCAGGCACCAGGGATTCAGCTGACAAGGTGTCACCAGTGATTTTCACCCTGGGACTCGCGCAGGTAGAGAAAGCCCAGGAGGGCAGCGACATGCCTCGCAGCGTCGCCCTGAAGGCTTTGGAAGCGCAAACGAAGCGACAAGCGACGCTTTGCGCCGTTCAGGACGTTTTCTGCAGGGGTGAAGCTGCTCTCCAGCAATCCCTCTTTGAAGTTCAACTCTTGATGGCCGTGGAGCCGGGGTCCGAGCCGTGCAATGCCACGCCGTGCCACGTGATGCCACGTTATGCCACCGTTTCCTCCGCCGAGGCGGCGGGCAGCGCGCGCCGCCCAGCGCGGGCTCCCGCCACAGGTGCCGCGGCTGCCGCGCTGCCTTACTTACCAGGCGCTCGATGAGTCGAGGCTCAAATCCTCCCCTGTGCTTCGTGCTCCTTCCGGTAGGTAGATGCTTCGGGCTCTGGCTGGAGTGTCCGAATGGCGCTGACGCGCCTGCGGGGCGAACAGCTGGACGGCTGGCTGCAAAGATCGGCCGAAGTCAGTGGCGAAAGTTCCCAAAGGCTTCGGGCTCAGAGTCGGTGCGCAGCAGACGTGGGGCAACTTGTGCATGGCACGTTCGGGGATGTGTCAGCGACGGCACGAGAAGGGCTCGGGGTCGCGGAGGCCCTGGACGGATGCGCTGCGCGGTGGATGCATTCTGGCAAGGTCGCGAAGTTGATGCGACCAGATTCCATTGACTGCGGCGTTGCGTCGCGCGAGGCGCTTGCTGCAGCAGCTGGGCCCAACGCTTCAGAATTTGGTCCAGTGCCCGGTGGAAGGGTTCATGCGGCACATGTGTGACATGCGCCTCTTGCGCCCGTTCAGTGCTCGTGTGTTGAAGACCTTTGTGCTCAAGTTGACACACGGCAGCGAGAGGGCGGGCGGAAAAGAGATGCGGCAGGGCGGGCAGAGTGCAGTTGCAACTTGCAATCCGAGGGAGCTCCCAACAAGTGACTATTGACTATTGATCCGGTACCGGATGTTGGCCTGACAAGCTTTCGCTTGCCATGGCTGGCATGGATAAGTCCTACTTCCTCGATGGCAAGCCCTCCACTGGCACGGAGGTGAACCAGGATCTCAGCGTGGTTGCAGTGATGCCCGCAGGCTGACAGCTGGGTCTGATTCTCCCTGTGCAGGCCAGTCATGCTGGAACGGAGCTCCTGCAGATGCTGCCCAGCACCACTTGTGTCCGAGTATTTGTGGCGGGAGCTGTGACCCACGTGGGCAACTTGGACTTGGCAGTGCAGGGCTGTAAGACGCTCGTTAACTTTAATCACAGTCCCTGCAAGTCGGTCAAAGAAAGTGGCCGACAGATTCTGCTCGATGCTGCTGAAGCCGTTTTGGAGATGAAGAGTGTGCGCATCTCAAAGGTCGGCTGGTCGTAGGTCCTGTTTCCAAGCTGGCTGCGCCTCGTAGTGCCAAACTGACCACCTACACGTAAGTCCTGTAGAAGCTACATCTACGCTCTATGTCTGTGGACTCTATGGCCCTCTGGCTGCCTCAAATCAGCCCCGCTTGAGCACAGTTGGCTTGACCTGCGGGGATCATGCATGGACCTCTTTCAAGGAGAAATCTGCAAACCGTCCAGATGCCCTCGCAGATGCATAGATCTCAGGCAAGACCTCGGTGTGCCTGGGCCTTCTGGCTGCTCTTCGGAAGGCTGGGCTGACAGCCTCTCGGATGCGACGATTAACCCAAAGCTTGAAGGCCTAACGTGGCAGCTTGAATAGGCATCGATGTTTCTACCTGTAATAACATTTCAGTATGAGGCACCTGGTCTTTGCACCCCATCCAAATCTAAGAAGCATTGAAGAGGCCGCGGCACCTGTGCATGAGGAGGAAAACAATGCATGCCAGCCTGCTTCTCCTACGTGCTGGAAGTATTGTTCTTTAGGAAGACTCTGGTTCCTGTGTATCCGTCCAGACGTGGAAGTAAGGAGCATGAGCTTCCAAGCTGCAGCCAAGGCTCAGGAGTTGGCTTACATCAAGCCGGCGACGCAGTGCGAAGCACCGGATTTGCTAAGCAAATGGTGTGCGAAAGAAGGCGATGGAATCTTCGACCCTGTCTGCCTTCCATGGGGTAGTACGGTAGTGACCCGGTAGTGCAGCGCTTCTGAAACTACGGGATTCCCGTTCATTGGCGATAGGGAAACTACAACTCCTGAAGGGCTTGCGACCCGAAGCAGGCAGCGAGAAGCACCCCCTGAAATTCTGTCGGAAGATTCAGCCAAACCTGTTTGTGTGTGTACAACCCTGATAGCAAAGGGACTAGCAAATTGTCGCATGCAAAAGCAGGGGGGCAGCGAGCCTTCTATCATCCACTGCCCAAACAAAAACGGTGACAGAAGTGTTGTGAAGAAATTTGGGACACCATATTGTGTACCTGCTGTTGTAATTTGCAAATGATGTGGCTAGGGGCTAAGCCAAGGACCCCAATTCCGAGTGACGTACCTGCATCAGAATGATTCCAGTGCTGATTGCATAGGATGTAACCAATCTCTAGCTACTCTCGCGAGAGAGCTTCCAAGTGTGTGTGAAAGCACATGAACGCTCGACAGGCATCGAGTATGTCGCTGGAGAAGAAGCGCCCCTGGTGTTTTACTCGGGGTTTACGCGCTCTTTCCTAGCCGGCGAGCAGGGCACCAGCGCCCAGTGGCTGCAGAAGAGCTTCAGCTGACCTGAGCAGCTGTGTGAAGCACGTCAGGGTTCAGAGCGGTCTGCGATCTGATGACAAATCTGCATTTGAGGATTGAGGAGAGGATACAGAAGCTATCTGATGGCAAGCGAGTTGTCAGCGCCTGAGGCTTTACACCAAGAAAGGGCAGTGCTATGACAAAGCAAGAAACTGCACCTGCCAAACAGCCCCCCCAGCCAGGTCATTGTCGACGGAGTTGGCTTTCCCGCTGTTGGGTCCATTGTGGGCGTTGACAACGCGGATGTGGCTCGTGCATCCAGAGCACCGGTTTTACTCGTCTGTGCCATGGCGTCAGCAGGGAATCCGCATGTTTTCCAGTCTTGTTGTGCATGTGGATTCCATAGCAGCAGAGGCAAGTCTGGCGTCGGTGCCGGCCTTATACCTCACTTGCATTCCAGTGTCTTTCCGCCACGGGGCATGGACGGACCTGTATCGTTAGTTGAGGTGGGGGGTGGGGGGGGGAGTTGCTCTGGTCGGACATCATCGATGTACAGTCTCCATGTTTGACATTGGCTTGAAACCTGAGGCTCTGCCGTGGACAGCTTTAGCTTGAACTCCTCGTATTTCTTGGCGAAGAGCGTGCCAGTGCTCGGCGCTGTTTTCAATCTTGGCGATGCTTGTCTCCGAGAGACCTTCGTGAGACATCTGTCTGCCAACTCCTGACTTGGGAGCTCCTCTTGATAAGGAGATCGAGGGTTTCTATTCCTCGGACAAGTGCAGAGAAAGCATACAGGCGTGGTTCGCAATGTTTCTTGCCCGCAGATTACGAAATTGCTCTCCTTGGATCGGCCCTGCTCCATCGCTGAGGCAGGGAGGGCGTCGAGAGCGCTTCTACGGCGTCGTGCCCAAGCTGCCCGAGTTGGACGGTTTGCGAAGCTTGCCTGGAAAGTCCTCGTCCAAGTCTTCTGGCTGCGAGCATGCAGAGCCAAGGCGAGCGAATCAAGGACACGGGCGAGGATGATCTGGCTGCTGGGCATGAAAGCTCAGCTAGTCGAGCGGGAAGAAGAACTCGTCAGCATCAGGCATCAGGAATGCAGGAGGTAATTGGCAAGCAGTTGAAGTCTTTGTAGGAGGACGTGGGCATTGGGAGGTTGTGATACTCAGTCGCCTGCCATCTCTAGGCACTCGATCAGGTTTACTGGTGCAAGTCAGGCTATTCCTTTGTCGTTTACACCGTGATGAGCCTTACTTCTTTCGCACTCACTCGCGTTTGCTGGCCTGGGACGCGACCCTCATAAGCCAATCCTGAGTAAGTGCCAAGTGAAGGACTGCAACGTTTTGCTGATGGCCTCTCCCGTGACGGCCCGCGTGTTCTGCTTTCCCTTATCCTATGTTTAAACCGTGGAACCTGTCGCATCATGCGTCAAGAAGTCCCTTGAGTCTTGTAGGCCATTCCAGCTCGAGCCAAGAGCAATTGCAGCCGTGTGCTGCAGTGTTTATTGTTTCCCGCCCTCCCCAGTGGACGCGGCGGTGCGGCTCTTCTGGCCGCCCATGCGCGGATGACTTCAGATAAATGGACCAGATGCATTTATGATTTGCTGCCAAAAGTGCTTCTCGTGTGATGCATAGATGGGATGGCTACTAGACGATAGGGATTAGAATGTTAGAACTCTCAGTTCGAACCGGTCGTCAGAAAGTCACGACTACCCAACCCTGAGCCTGAGTGATTGCCAGACGAAGGCCTGCAAAGTTTCACCAAGAGTATCCCCCCTTCCCCTCCTCTTCTCAACGATGAAGAGCAAGTGTCCAAAACTCAGAGCACTCAAGTGAGCCCGATTAGGGACTAAGTGTCAACTTGGCCTTCTCCTCAGGATGCATTGGCTGATATGAACGCAGTGCACTTCGCTCAGCACGTGGCTCTTGGGCTGCATTTGCGAGTGTCCCTTGCAACGCTGACGGTGAGGGCCTGCCACAGAATGCCTTCCTTCTTGAAGGACATCGCAGCAATCTTTGCCGATGCAGCTGCGGATCCTTGGTGGCTCAGCTTGACAGAGGGCGACACCCGTAATCTTGTTACGGGCACTTCGACCGCCGAGCAGCCAGGTGTCGTGGTGTGCGAACCAATCCACAACCGGCTCCAACGGTCAAGGTCAGTACGTTTCAACCGCGTCTTCTTTGCACCCAGGATCGTGCTTTGCTGTGCTGCCTGGGCCTACACGCATGCAAGCCAAGGCTGTCTCGGGATGCCGTGTCAGCTACAGCAAAGAAAGCGGGTGCCAAGGGAGGCGGCTGAGGAGGGTAGAGGTCTGGAGCCACGGCACCAGGCCACTTCCCTAAATCCTTTCCTGGACTGATGGAGCTGGTGAATGACGCTTGTCTTCGTCTTTTTTGCTCCAGTTCTGTCCCAAGAAGTTTGCATGTCCTCATGCGCTAGCACTGCTGAGGACAGCTTCCCGCTCTTCGGTGGAGCTTGACTGATCAGCCGAGTCGTAGCAGCGCCTCTCCTGAGCCGTGTTCGCTCGGGAAAACAGACGATGGATTGGAGCCTTTTTTTGCATGGAATGCCACGGACACGGACTTCCACAAAATCTGAAAAGCGGTGCGGTACTCGTGCGCGGAGGCTCCCTTGGCGTGGCACCGTGATGTCAACTCCCACAATGTCAGCGCCTGAAATCTGCGGGTGCCACAAAGAAGCAAAGGGCACTGGCAGGTCAGGCTTCTTCAAGTCCCCTTTCCGCTGCCCAAAAATTATGCCTTATTAACCGTTTCATGCTATGCCTGCTCCGCCCGAGGTCCTCATCTGCAATGAGACGTCGGAGGACGTTTTGTCTCTGGCATCTTTCCCTCTTGCAACTTCCAACTGCTTGCAGGACGGCATGTTAAGCTTGGATGACGGCGAGGTGCAGTGGATACCGGAGAGCGCAACGCAAATGATTACGCTGTCTTGGAGTTAGGAGAAAGCCTCCTTCTGGCTCTGTGATCTGGGACTTGCCGTCGACTCGCAGAGCTGGATCGGAGAGGATGCAATACATGGCCACAGCAGAGACATTTCGCCTCATTTCCTAGCAGTCGAGAGTTTCTGTTGAGTCGCAGCTCCATGTTTTCGGAGGAGAATCTCTGGCGGGTGACGGACATCGGTTGGGAGCTGAAGTCGAGGGCGCCTGCTACTGGTAAACTGGTACTTGCCTCTGAAGCGCCTGGAAACATACAGGTGGGGATTGCAGATACTGGCCAGCCTCCTGTTGGATGGTCCACTGCTCTTGGCCCAAGCATGCCCAAGCGCGAGAACACCTTGTGGGCGTGACTCTGACTCTCCGATCAAGGCTTTGGGGCAGACTACTTGGAGGAAAGGTCCGAAGCTTGGTCAGACCCGATCTCTAGCCGGCGCACCAAGAGCTCACGGGAATCGGAACATCTGCTCCGCTCAGGCCTAACTTCTGCAGACAGTACAAAAGCAGGTGAGGAAGGGTCTGCTTCTTCACGAGAGCGCAAGTCACGGATTGTCATCACCCAGCCCCGGACATCTCGTATCATCCGCAATTACATGTGAACTGTTCTGGCGAAGTCGTCGCATCAAAGCCCGGCCTGTGCAGGCTGGATATCCATGCGCTTGGTATCACAGCCATAGAAGTCCTGTGCTGGAACCTTGGCGGATTGCAAGGTCATGGCAAGTAGGTATGTCTTTTGCGCCCCTGCCCGGCTTGAGGCACAAAGCCCCTGGCACTCCGTACAGCCGGTGCTCCTGCCGGCTTCTGTCCCAGAGTGCTTCAACCTTGTGTGGGGCGGAGGCAGCGTAAGACTTGAGGCGACGTTCCCAGCTGCTGGTCGAGCCTTTTGGATGCATGGAAGAGCCTCGACGGCACATCGTGACGGGTTTGGAAACCACACCTTTGCGAAGTTCTCCGGCAGCGAATTTCCGATCTGCCTCGAAGGCAGTATCACGATACTGTAAGCGACTGGTGGCAGGCAGCTTCCGACACTTCTGGGCATGTTGCATCTGTAGCTTTCCACGGCCGTCGGAGTAGCCAGCGTGTGCAGTGTCCAATGATGGTCAGGCCATCTACAGCGTGTTTAGCGCGGGTGGCGATTTCCGTCCAGTTCATGCTTCCTTGCAGCATTGAGTAGCTTCGTCATCGCATCACAGAAACTTGAGAACAGATGGACTTTGAAGGCTTGGCTGGTGGAGATCGCTGCGTGCGGTCCTTGAGCTGTTGAACCCGAAATGAAATTTTGTGGCAGCATGCCGCTTGGCATACGTGTCAGGCCCGACAAGGTTGTCTCTCTGGTCGGCAACATGCGACAAGCTCTTTACGAGTGCGCCGCTTCTATGCAAATCTGCTGGGCATTCGATCCGTGTCGGCAAGAACTTTGCCTTTTGGGTATGCGCGTCCTTCAACATGAACTTCGGCGGCTCAGGCAGATTGCAGCGACGAGGCCGTCGCACAGCTTCTCCGCGCAGTGGCGGCTGCAGCCGATGAGGCCATCTGCCCTTGAGCGGTGCTGTGAGGTGGTGAAATGGTGTCACGGTGTCACAACACGAGTCTAAGAGGATTCCCAGCTCGAACTTCTGGACATTTGCAAGCTGGCCGCTGCCCTTCGGACCGTCAACCAGTGGCCCCTCACCCTAAGGCCCTGAGCCCGATGTCTCTTGAGCCCAGGCCGGACAAGCGCCTGAAACTGGTCCAGGAGCGCTCTGTCTGCCCACCCCGCCCCGCGTCATGCGCCTCTCGGTTGCCTCGGCCGCAGGCGCAGCTCTGTCGACGGAGGCCCGGAACTTACCCTTGCTACTTCTGTGAGCCTGATCTGCCGTGGGAAGGCAAAGCAAGACCCTTCGTCTACAGCAGCAGCGGACGTTGCTGCTGGCACACAGGCACCATGTGATCCAACGTTCAAGAGCTGGTGTCCCGTCTGCATCACAGGATTCGGCTACATCTCAAGAAGAGAGTCGTGGCAAAGCGACCAGGCACGCTTCTAACGGCTGTGGACAAGGCCCATCCATGTCACGTTCGCAGCCAGGACCGATGAGCGTGAGCCTCCCAGTCGCTTTCACAGAGTTGAGGGGCTTGTGGAGAGGTTCATGTTACTAGAACATGAGCACCATGCCAACTGTCGACGAAGCTTTGAAACTGATTGCGTGGGTATCGCCAACGAGCGCAACATTGCTCATGCCCCGGACGTGCTCCAAGCCCGGATACTCGACCGTCTTCCATTCCACGGCAGATCATGACAGGCAGACCACTGGCTTGAGGGTCGCAGCTAGAAGTCAGGAAGCGCCGCGGGGTGAGCGGCCAGAGCATGAGCGTAGATTATGTTCGGAGAGTACACAACGAAGTCTCAACACTTTCGGTGCAGATATCGGGAAGGAAGTGTTAATAGTTGGGCAGACAATGTGCAGACTAAGATTCAGGGTTGTTCTCGTCATTCTGCCAGGTTTCCCGACCTTCACTGCCGTGAGTGGATTCATCGGGTCGCAAGAAAGCCCGAAACCTTCAAGCTGCCAGCGCGTGTGCGCAGTTTCGCAAGCTGTCCTAAATGCAGCAACATAGCATTTTCCTGGAACTCAGAGTTTCACCAGATTTAGACTGGAGCCACCGCGCCCCCGACTCTCCCTCTCTCCTGTCTTGGCTTCCTTTTGCACATGCGCGTGAGGTGGCCTTCTCCCAACTCTCCCGGACTATTTTCGCGAATTTGGTGGCTTTCCGCGCAGACTTTGTCTTTGTTGATGGATATGGGATTTTCGTGCGACCGTGTGAATTTCAATGGTTTTTGTGAAGATAAATTGCACAAGCAGCTGGCGTTTTCATTTTACGCCTTCGAAGGTTTTCTGTCGCAGAGTACTAGCGTCGAGAGTTAAAGCTTGCGTGTCACGGTCCGTGATGTGAATGCATCGTCTTGTAGCCAGACGTACTTGGTCGTTGGTCCAGAGTCGGCCCTGTGCCGGCGTCTCCTGAACAAGCAGCAGCGATACACAAGCCAAAGCTGAACCTGTGGTAGCCTGATGAAGATGAAACAAGAATGGTTCAGATCTTTCTGAACGAAATGAAGAGGATCTAGTTGGAACTCTGTCTTTCAACTTAAATGCACTTTGCATCTAAGCAAGGCCTGGTCACCGGGAGCAAGAGCACCAAAGCGCTGCGGTGCAAGCTGGAGGATTGCCGGTAAGGGTGCAAAGGTCAGCAATCAGTGTCGTCGCGCAATGTAGACCCTCGTGCCTCGTGTCCCGCTGCTTGTCAACATGATGATGCGGATTGCATCATTTGTTTGGGTAGCGAGCATTCCGTGTTGCCAGGAGGAGCATGCCAGGCAGGTCGCAAAGCAGCGAAAGGTTGTTTGGTTCTGGCAACAGCAAGCGCCATCATATTCGATGTGTGCAATATCCTTCTACCGCCTCCTGCACGGACTATCTGACTGTTTCCCCTCTTGAGAAGAGACATGCTCGCCTTCAAGTTTGCAGGCTGAGCGTCGACCTGCAGAAATTGCAGTTGCACAGGCAACTTGCTCTGAACGGCGCGAGATTTCATGCACCTCTGGCCTATGCTCTCCTACCCTTACATCCTCGCAGGTCGCGTGTGCTTCTTGCGAAGAGCATGCTCAACCAACTGCCGTGAGCATATCGATTTTTCTGCACGGCAAGCCTATATGCATTGACGCCTTGTACCTAATAATTCGTATCTCTAGCTTGGGCTGACGCTACCAAAGCGGCAGCCTCTTATAGGAGTCCCGTCGACCGGTACATTGGTTCCCCACGTGCCAATGCCGTGGGAACCATTGCTAACGAGCCGGAAGCCACGCCGGAACCAGTACATCAGAAATTCAATTCAGTCATGGTCTTCTTCCTGGAACGGCCCGGTTCGTGCGTACTTGTAGCACTGCAGCAGCATGTCTTTCCAGCGGAAGCAAGCCAGTATTTGGTGATTGCAGCTTACACGATGTTGCTTGAAGTGGACCCGTGGCAGATCTTGGTTTTGGCTCGGGCTATGCCATGCTTGCTTGGACGGACAGCTCTTATCCACTGCACGCCCTACCTTCCGGGAGCCCTGCAGCACTCCAGAAAAGACCTATCGAAAGGACATAGAAAGACATCTCCCTGCAGTCTGCAGTAGCCCTTGAAGGATTTGGTTTCCAGTGCTTTGCTCATGCAACTCGGGCTTCTTTTGAAGGGCTCGTAGAGTTCGAAGAGCTCTGAGTTGTGTCCCACAGGCGGGGCCGAACATGGCTGACCGCAGCGAAATGCCCCTTCTGCGAAAGAGAGAGAAGTGGTCCGAGAAGTGGCTGGTGCTCGCGCTTGCGGGAATCCTCTAAGCCGTAAGCTGTGGACGATCATCGATTGGGATCTGTGTCGGTGTCTCTCTCTCTCTCTCTCTCTCTCTCTCTCTCTCTCTCTCTCTCTCTTATGGACCCGTCTTTTCGAAGCCGTTGGCACAAGTTCAAAATGCCACATTGAAAGAGACAGCCACAGCTCATTGTGTGTCTCTCTATGTGTGTGTGTGTGTGCAGATCCTAGTTTAGTAAGTGCGCCATTGCCTCACACAGATGATTCTGGAGCTACTGTTGAAGCTGATGGACGAGGCCGTGGCATGTGCATGAGTGGCAGCGTAGCAATCCGAACACCTGCTTTGCTGGGCTCCGCTCTCTGAGTCCATGATCGAGTACTGCAGTGTACCTCTGTCTGCAAAAGCCGGAGATGCAGAGGCCAAAGCCGTGGTTCCTGCAGAGCACATCTAAGGCGTCTTTCCAGGAGGAGCTGCACGAGCTCTGGGCCAAAACCGTAGGTGCTGCCGCGAAGCAGGCTGGCCGCGGTTCGTCGTCTCTTGCTGAGGATGCACCCGGTGTCGAAAGATCAGGCAGCAAGACAAGAGCTGCTGGTGAAGTATTTGTGCCGCGGTTGCACAGAGAAGGTGCGTGGGAGGCGACACTCCTGTGAGCTGAGGTGCCCACTTGTGACGAGGCTTCGCTGTCGGAGAAGCACGCTGTAGTGGCGTAGCTGCTGCTCTGCAAGCTACTAGGCTACGCCCGCGCAGGTATGGATTCGACCCGACGTGGGACGGAGCGGCTTGGTGGAGTCTTGAGTGTTGAAATCACGGCGACAGCATACTTTCGACTTGCAGCTGCCAAGGTAGTGCAGAGCCAGCAAAGTGCAGGTCCTTGGGTAGCGGATGAGGAGGTCATTGTAGCTCAGCAGAATCGCATTGCCTCAGACAGGACAAACCTCCAGCCAAGCAGCCAAGCCTAGGCCAAGTACAAGCTCCAGAAGTGGCTTCTCGACCCCGGGCTTCAGGAGCCTTCGGCGACAAAAAATTCGACGTGAGAGAGCCCCAAAAGCTCCAAGCACAGGCGAGAAAGTTGCCTGGGATGCACGAGAAGCCGTTGCACACGGCCATCCGAGAGCTCTGCGAGGACTCGCACATGCTGCGACAAGCGTCCTCTGAGATGAGCCGCAACCAAGGGGTCAAAATTTGCAGGTATAACGGCATAACGATCTGTGTTTCCAGGAGATCGAAAGAAAGAGTGGCAGACCCTCCTTGGCCGCTCCGTTATGCAGTGCTCGGCACGGAACCCCGGCAATCCAGCTGAAGGAGGTGCCAGTGCCCTGGGCACGGGTCTTCGCACCCTTGGTCTGCGCAGTGATCCCGGGCGTTCTCTCCAGCGAGGAGGTCCAGGCACTGAAGTCTTGGGGGATGCTGCTCGACTGCTCGATTTTCAAGGCTTCTTTCTTCGCGACGAGCAGAGTCTGAGTCAGCAGCGCATCTTGCAGCTGAGGTCGCGGAGGGATTGGTCTTTGGCAAACGGGCATTTCATCAGCCAGTTCGAGGATGGAGTTCTTGCCTACAAGCTTTGGAGTCGAGTGTGCCATCTTGTCCCATCTTTCAAGGGCCTCGGTGCAGTAGGCCTGAATCAGCACATGCGTTTCCTGAAGTACGGGAAGGGCCACTACTTTGCACCGCACCAAGATGGTGAGAATCGACACGGCCCGGCACGATCTCTACTTTCGGCGCTGGTGTACCTTTCTGGGATGGATAGAAGTGAGAACGGCGGTGGAACCCGATTCATTTCTCCCGAGTGCCCGGAAGTTGCGACTTTCGGACGATGTGACCGTGGCTGTGATCGCTGTGTGGATGCTCCTGTAACTGCCGGATCTATGCTGCTCTTCGCACAAAGCGTGATCCATGCCGGCACTGAGCCCAAAGCCTCCGAGAAGTTTGTGACTTTGCAGCGATTTAGGCAGTCAAAGCACGGAGCGTGATGCATGCCAAGCAGGAGCTGACTTTGATCATGTAAGGTGATCCGGACGGATGTCATGTACCCGTTGGCGCAGACTTGAGCTGTGTGTTCATAGGCACAGCTGGACGGCGCGACCTTCGACAGAAGATCTCAGACGACAAGGTTCCCGAGCTGACAATGTCACGGTGGCCCCCGGAACGTTGGGTCTTCAGATCCTCGCGAGGGCCTCCAGGGCCGTCCAGAACGCTGTCTGCAGAGGCATGAGGCCACAACTTGTAGGCCCCAGAGGGAGCTCACGGCGAGGGCGAGGCGAGCAGTGCAGCGCATGGACGGCTGAAATTCCTCCTGCGATGTGCGCTGCGCAACGAGAAGTCAGCCGTTTCACCAGTTTCCCGACAGTTACTTAGTCCACGGGCCAGGTCAACTTGTGATTCCTCTCACATGCCGGCCAATGCAGGTGGTCGCTGCAGGTCACAGCCTCAAGCTCTGCACCAGGCGGCGCAGCTTTCTTCATGAATGAACTAATGGCATTGTTCAGATTTGCAGAGTTACTCGATCTGCGGAAAAAGGGCGCATCGGATGAGTCTGATCTAAGGTGGCGGAGCTGAGCGGGCTAAACATGCCTACAGCTGGAATGCCATTGGGTGAATCGGTGAACCATGCTGGCCATGCACAGCTCAGATCACGTCTGGCCAATGAGCCTGACGTGATTGGACAGGGGAAGTCGTAGGTTTCTCAAATCCCCGAAAGTTCTGGGCTACATTCCGTCAAAGCGATGCTGGCGGAGCAGTACCGCGATTTCATGGAAGCCACAACCGGGGTAACTGGTTGGCAGTACTGCTTGTTGAATTTGCCCTTTTTCGCTCCTTCCGTAACGGGCTGGGTGGGACTGTGGTGCCGGTGCCTCCACTCCAGTTCTGGCACGGGGCTTGCTGTTGTGGACGATCATGTAGATTTGCAAGTGTCGTCGTAGCGAAGCCAACGAATGAGAAACGAAGAACCGGAACTGCCAAGATGTTTCACGCTCACAGCCCGATTTGCACCTATACAATCAAGCCAGTGATCTGCCTCAGCTTCCTCACGGTTTCAAGAACAAGCTTAAGACTGCTACTGAATGACTCGCTAAGAAACTGGCACTCGCAACTTCCCACTTTTCTGTGCAGTCTTGAACTCAAGAAACCAAAGCGGCAACGAAGTCATCAGGAGCCTTTTGAGCAGGGCGGGCATGAACCAAAAAGTCAAGCAGCTTCTGCTGCCAAAGCATCTCCTGCCTTCTGGAAAGGTCGTGCTATGCATCTCACTAGATTCAGAGTTTCCTGGCACTTTCACTGACTACACTGACCACGCCACAAAATACGGCTGGTATGGCCAGAGCTTCGTTGCTCTTCTCGTTCTTCAATTTCTGCTTTTGTCTCGTCGTGCTGCAGTGCTCCGAGCACTGGGCCTGATGGTTGGACACGTTGTTCATATTGACATGGCCTTATCCGAGGTTTTGTGTTGCTGGGTAAGGTTGTCTGTCAATCCGGGATTACATGTTACTTTGACTGCATTGTCGATGCGCCTGCGCCTAATTATGCATTCCGAGAGTCTATGAACATGCCAAGGCACTGCTGCCGTCAGTCACCGCCCAGACGACTCCACGCTGCGAGCTGCGCCGCTCGACAGCTGCTACGGCTGCGAAAGTCAAGGAGATGTCTACTACCAGCGCGATGCATGCAACCGGCACACAGTCCTGGCCTTAGGCCACACGTGGCTGAGGGCAAGCTGGTGGCTGATAGTAAATGAGGTCGGACCGGCGGGCAGCCATGCTGGAGGCACTGGCAGGGCTGAACGACCAGCCTAGCCAGGCTCCAGTGCACGAGTATGAGCTGCCTGCGCTGGACCCATCGGCAGCGCTGCAAATGTGCAGTGCGGCTGTTCTTACCTCTATGGCATATGCCAAAGCTGCGGCCCCAGAAAGGCTTTCGCTAGAACGAGCCTTGCAGTGCTTTCAGCAAAGGTCGCTTCGGGACGGACGCGTCGAAGCTCCCAGCTCTTGCAAGATGCAGTTCGCCTGAGCAGCGGATCCAACTTTCTCCTCCAACGCGCGCTTGCAGCCTCGAGCACCTCAGCTGAAGGCGTTCCTTCTGATTGTGCCTTCGCCTTTGCTTGTCCAGGTGCCAAAAACCTTGAGGAAGCTCACAGCATCAGCTTCAGGACTCCATATCGCTCGACGATTCGTGTTGCTTGGGAAGCAGAGGCGTTCACTTTGCTTGCCAAGGCACCGGCTAGACACTGATGATTGTCGTTAAAGATGAATCGTTCCTGTGAGGAGCGCCGTGCAAGCGGGCAGACAATACTTTGACACAACACTGCCGCCGGTGCCCTGCAGCGGCCTTAAGCACTCGCATCGCGAAACGCACTTCTGCATGCAAAGACTTGTCACAAGAGCCGAATTCTGCCGAAGTCCTTGCAGGCTGGTGAAAGCTTGCACGAACACGCAATACCGACTTTCCGTAGAGACCCACCGCCATTCATGCTTAAACGACAAGCTGATGGCTGCTCAATGATTCAATCGCGGCGTGGTCGTTTCTTCGCGACGTAAGTGGCGGTTCAGAACGTATGCGTACCTGCTTGTCCACAAAAGGATCGAAGCTGCTTGATCGTGCCCTGGTCTATCTTTACCTAACCGGCTGGGATCGTACCAATGCACTGCCCTCTTCCTGCTGGTTCGGGCTCCAAGGCGGCATGGAACTATGAGCAGTCATTGGCATGATGTCGATTGAATTACTTGTACCATTTGTATCATAAGCCCCGTGATTCGTCCCGCGCGTTGTTTTTGAGATTTCTCGAGCAAGAGTTTCGAGCAACAAAGACAGCAGGCTACACCGTGCAGCATCTGTCGTGCTGTGAGCCGACGTACGCAGTGGTTGGACAGTTCATGTCAAGGGTAAGTTCGAGAAAGGGATAGATACCCCAGAAGGCACTGTTGGATGAGAGCACTTACTCAAGATTACGTACAGCTTGCAGCTAGTTCTGCATGGAGCCATGTCTGATGGATTCGCCGAAGACCGGCGCACTGATAGCCCACAATGTGTGCATGCCGCACTTCGGCGTAAACTGGTCCAGGCAGAGAGTGGAGCCAGGGAAAGCAAGAACATCCAAGGACAGCGACAACCTCGAGCTCGAGAAGGAGTTGGAGAAGGAGTTGCAGGAGCCGAATCTCGTGCACACCGCAGCGGAGTTGAGTCTTAGCTGGCAAGGACTTGGAGGCCGAAGTTCAGGTGCTGCAACATCGGCTAGACAAGCTGGAGCCTCTCAATACGAGGCTCGGTCTCGCGTGTCTCGCTTGCCTACGATGAGAATGTCACTTCTGTGGCTCTGTGTTTCAGGCCTTCCATCGAAGCGCTACCCCTGGAACAGCTCTGCTTGCATCTGCCCGCGAAAGAGTTTGCCACATTGTCTTCCACAGGTGTGGTCCAAAATTGTGTAGTTCCAACACGCTTCCTCTCGAGATGTTGACAGGTCAAGAGCTCCAGCGTGTGCTGCAGCAGTCGCGCGGCTGCAGGGTAAGAAAGAGTTATAAAAACGTTGAAGACCCTCTGAATCCTGCAGGCTGCTCCCTCAGCTCTTGAAGGGATTGGCCATGCTACAAGCGAAGGCACGCTTTTTGTCAGTCACTGGTGAAAGACTCACTCCTGATTCCTGGAGAGACGCAAGGCTGGCCGTCTACTGCCGCTGGGTCTGACACCTCTGGCGCTTTGGCAGGTGGGGACATGCAAGGCCCATGATGAGTCCTAAGCGACAAAATCACGACACCGCCTGGCAGTCGCTACGAGAGCCGGTGATTTCTGTGGACACTGCATGCCCTGCATTGGGCCGGGGGCTGCTGGCAACACAGCTGCAGAAGTTGAAGGTTCGTGCTCGTTTGGCGGGTGATTTGGTGGAACTGTAGGCGATGCTGCCACGTCAAGCGTTGTCTTCTTTGCAATGTGTAAGACAGCTCAAATTGGGTCCAGCTAGCTCTTGTTGTGTGGTTGGAAGACCTGCAAAGCTCAAGATCAATACTTTGGGGATTGCGCCATAGGTTTTCCACTGTAAGGTCCTGAATTTGTACCCACTCCGCCTTCGGAGTGTGAATGTGCTGCGGTCGCGAAGCATGCATGGCAACATCCTGCAGCCGCACGAACTGGCCTGGAAGATGGGCAACCAGCTGACTCCTCGGGTGCTCCGTGGGAAGCTCTCCTGCAGCATCGCACCCATCCGAGGACTCCCTTGGCTTCAGAAAACCTCGCCAACCCATGTTTTACCAGACGGCAAGAAACGACAAAATGCCAGGAACAGCGGAGTCTGAGATCTCCATCCTTCTCTTGGATTCTGCAGTGCCCAAGCAGCCGTTGATCACGCTGAGCTGGGAACTACGTCCCGTCAGCCGCGGCTGCTACTACAACATTCGGGCATCCATCCGCGAGGTGCATGTTTCCGTTGTCCACTTCCGTCCCGTGCTCTGTCATCTATCCTTCAGTAATCGCAAGGTTGTGTCCACACGGTCGTCATGGGCATACCGTCAACACACTTGGAGCCTGAGCGACGGCACGCTGCGTGCCCGGCCATCGGAGAACGATGTTCGCGAGTATGTCTTAACATACCACTTGGAGAATCTCATCTGCAAGACTCTGCAGAGAGTGGCTGCTCAGGGTAGACCAGACAAAGAAACATGACGCATCGTATTGTAGGGGCAATGCTTTGCTTCTTGCACACACGCCCAGATGAGCTGAAGAGGGTTGACAGCTTCGCAGCTGAGGTATGAGGCTGATAGAATGGTTCGTACCACGAAATCTTGCAGAAACGAGACGTGCATGCTGCGTGCTGAGGATTGACTGGGCAATGGCGCGCTGCTGGATTCTGGTACAAGACCGATTTCAGGCCGGATGTCTCCATCAGACGCTTGCATCATCTGTGCCCTGTCCTTCAAGCAGCTGGGGCACCAGACAGAAGCTACCGTGCAGGCACGCTATGGAGGATTGTCCCAGTTGAATGAGCTGTGCAGGAATTATGCCTGGAATCGAGCTGCGGTGGAGCATCGCCAACGGCTGACGAGTTGCGCAGCATGGCGAGCATCTAGGAAAAGCGCTGAAGTCGGTGCATTGCAGAAGTGAATGACTTCGCAGCTTCGTTTTTGTTCATGCGATTTGTGTTTCTGCAAGGCCTGCAGCTCTCGCCTGGAACAACTGCGAGCTTGTCAGAGCTACTTCTGGGCTAGGTGATGTGGTCAGCACCTCAATGCTGCAGTGTCCTGCAATGTCCAGCTACACCGTCGATTGGAAGCCGAAGCATGCACTGCAGGTTGCCGCGAAATCTTAGGTGCTTTAGAGACGGGATGCTTGTGAGCCGCGTGGGCGGTCACTCTACTGGTAGCGTTTGCTGCCCAAGGCAGGCAAACTCCTTTGCGCTGGGCCCTGCTATGTACATAGATGTGTAATCTTGTGCGTACGAGCCGGCCACACTTGTACTAACACATGGCCGGCAACGGGTCGTGCTAGCTTGTGAGGCCTATTTTGGCTTGCTTTTGAAGTGAATTACGTTGCATGCGGCAGAGTCCAGACGATGGGGCTCTGTGAACTAGCAGCTTAGTAAAGTCTAGCATGCTTGCTACGTGCAGCACCAGCTAGCACTTCAGCAAGCAGAAAACAAGAAAATGGACGAACCAAGCAGACGCGTTCTCCGGCTTGTTGCCTTGAATGTGTTGCACAACTCGTGCGTATTCTTGTCTTTTGTCGCAAAGGTTTGCTAGTTGCTTGTGCAACATGAAGCAACCACGGGAGCCTGGCTTGGCGCCTCGATTGAACTCGTATACAAGTCCGTCAACCTACGAACACACTGTGGGAGCTCCTTTGCCGTTGTAGACAGTGCACGAAGGGTGATGCCAGCCACAGATCCAAGAATTGCGACATCTTAGCTCAACATGCACCCGTGCATGTGCTAAGAAGCAATGGAGCTGATCGTGAAGGAAGCTCGCAAAGTCTGGATTCCCAACCACCCTACGCACGGATACAGGCTGTGCCGCGTTTTGTCCACTGTGGTCAAGGGCACCAAGATGTGCCACCGCTGCCACTCGCAGGCCTGGGCAGGTGGATGACAATGCTGATGCAGGGGACAATCTACTGGTTGTTGATGCGGAGGGCAAGAAGTTCCAGGCAGGCGGCAGTGACCGGTGTGATGCAGATTATTGGTGAAGACGGCTGCAAGAGGTTCCCAAGGCAGAGGCCCTGGCAGTAGACCCAGCCTGCTTGACGGGCGTGGACGATCTGTTGACCCTGGGCGACTTCAACGAACCTGCCTTGACCCGAGACTCCAGCGGTCCAGCGGCAACGACACGGACCTGAAAGCCTCAGTAGCCACGCAGCCGAGGCTCTCCTCCACAACATCCGTGTGCGATATGAGGAGGACTCTCAAAAAGCAGTTCGACAACATGTCCTGTCTTCAGGCAAAATCAAGAATCTCCCGTGCGAAACATTCCGTATCTGGTGAGGACAAGATCTACACAGGCATCGGGACACCGATCCTGATCTCTGTGAACCCCTACCAGAACATTCCTGGCCTTTACAGCGTGGAACGTATGCGCGAGTACAAGCGCTATGCTGCCAAAGCTCCCAGCCAGGTGGCTTGGCGAAAGCCGAAAGTTGTTCTCAGATACAGTATCATGACTTGTTGTCATTACTGTTGTTATTGCTATTGTCGTTATAGTTAGTAGTTCTATCCTTCTGCTTAGTTTTCTTAGTTGGGACCAGCCGGTCCTTCTGGCAAGACGGATTTCTCACGGGAGGTAGCAGGAGGTGGATTGCCTGTTCACCTCTACTCCGTTGCTGATGCAGCATATCGTGCATCTCGGCTGACTCGCTGCGGATCGCAAGGGATTCTGAAGCTTCCAGGCAGTGCAAAGGTACTTGGCCTTGTGAGTGAAGATCCAAGGCAATGCTCCAGGAAAAGGCCAGCCAATCCATTATCATCTCAGGCCGCTGGCTCGAGATCGTCTTCGCAACAACATGTCGCCGCCCCTCCTTAGTCCTTGGGAACCCTGGGGGAGCTTCTGCCAACTGCAACGTACCCAGCGAAGCGTAGGACCTTAGACCGGAAGTGATGGGGTACGGCACGTCGGCAAGCAGTAACGGGGCCAACACCGCTACAACCATGGCCTCAACCTCCTAGTTCCTGAAAATGAAGAGAGACAACTTTGGCATGCTGGCATTTGCGTGCATAGGCACCCTCAGCTTGTACCCACCAGGGCTGGTCGCCCCAATTCGACTCGGCATGTAGCTCCAGTTTTGGACTTGGAACGTCGAGAAGCGGGCTGCAATTGCACAGCCGTTTAGTGTGTTTTATGTGACATCCGGAGCCGTATGAATAGGTTGAGAACCGACAAAGGGCAGTGAGTTTGACATTACGCAACATCACGGCCTTTGAATAACAAGTGCTTACCCACGAAGATGGCGACAGGAGTTGACTGGTTTCTTTGCTTGGCAGGTGAAAGTGGAGCAGGCAAGACTGAGGCCACGAAGCGCATGCTCGCATATTTAGCCGAGCTGCAGTCTTCAAGGCCGCATGACACAGGACTTGAATCTGCAGCCCGGTCACAAGTCTCTTTGATCCGACCGTGAGCTTATGACGTGCCCAGCCATGCAGGAGAAAGAACTCGTTCAGTTGAGTCACAAGTCCTCGACGCCAATCCGGTCCTGGAAGCATTTGGCAATGCCAAGACGGCTGCGGAACTCAGAGATATGCAGTTTTGGAACACGATAGCAGGTTATGTCTGCTTACATGCTTTAAATCTCAGGTGAGGAACGACAACTCCTCCAGATTTGGCAAGTTCATAGAAGTGGAGTTTGACTCGGGCGGAAAATTGCTCAGTGCACAGAATCTTGACCAATGTGGTATTTGACTCCGGGTACTGTTCCAAGTTTGCAAGCAGCCCGCAACACGACGAAGGGAAGCCGCTGCGAAGCCGATCTGAGGATTTCCAACTACTTGTTGGAGAAGTGCCGCATCGTAACGCAACAGCCCGAGGACGGATTGTCATATTTACCGGCACGGGTTGAACTGCCAGGTGTCACATGTTTTCGGAAGCATCAACCCTCAACCAAATAGTCCGCACATCGTAGCCGCATGACAGAAAGTTCACTGCACCGGGTTTGTTTACACATATTGGCACGGTAGTAGCACAGCTGAGAGACGAGTGCAGCTGTTGCTGTCGTGAGGAACGCAATTATCACATATTCTACCAGCTGTGCGCCGCTGCTGCTCGGAAGGCCGTTGTCTTTACTCATTGAATGCGTGCCGCCGTGCCGTGCGCTTCGAGCTGTGTTTCTGTTTGGTAAGTGACTGGCTGCCCGTAAGGTAGCTACTCGTAAGCTAGTTCTTGGATTTCTCTGAGATGGTGTAACACTCTGGACCACCGAAGCTTACCAGCTCTCGGTGTCGTCGGCAGGGTGAAGATCTTCCCGAAGGGCTACAGCTGCATGCAGCCGACGACTTCGAGTACAGCAAGGTTTGCTTGTCTATTGCGGGTGTGGATGATGCCGCAGAGTTCGCCAGTGTCCTGGAGTGCATGATCAGCCTTGGCTTCTCCAAAGAGGAGCGCGACACCATCTTCAAAATCATTGCAGCTGTGCTCCATCTTGGGGAAGCCCAGTTTACGCACTGCGTCCGAGAAGGTCAGGATGGAATCTCCGTGGCAGATGATGCTTGCCTGCATGGGGTCTGAAGCCAAGCTCATCAGCTACAGTAGTTCATGCCACATCAGTTACCCTTCAGCTGAATTTGACTAAAGAGGCCGCGCATAGCTTGGCAGAAGGTGTGTTGCAACCATGCAGTCCTTGTGGTTGGCCGTGTAAATGCATGCAGGACAGCTCTGTTTCGTTGGCATGCGAATTGCTGGGCCTCCCTATAGAGCAGATGCAAGATGTCTTGGAGCACAAGACCTTGGAGGACGGCCACCTGTTAGGATGCTTTCTTTACAGTATGATCTTTGGTTGCCTGAAGCTCAGGGTTTTTTGTCAAAACATCCTGTGACTACTTTCAGTGAGGACCCACTGACAAGGAAGATCATCCACATGCCGCACCTTGCCCAAGACGTGCTAGTACCACTCTACTTCAGTTTGAGCAATCCCGGTTGCTGAGGCAAGATGCGGCGTCAGCTTCGTTTACTCGGCATTCGATGGCGAAGGTGATCTACACTCGCTTGTTCGACTGGCTTGTCTGGCGCATCAACGAGAGCATCTGCAACAAAGGATCGCAGAAAGACATCCGTAAGATTGGCTTGCTGGACATTTATGGTTTTGAAGTGTTTGACTGGTGTCCCATCTGCATACAGCAGCACGTTGTCTTTCAAGATGTTTCCTAGAGTCGGTCCTAGAGGTTGTTCCGCTTTCGTGACGATGTGCGACTGCGCTCTCAGGAATTCGTTCGAACAGCTTTGCATCAACTTTGCTAACGAGAAGCTCCAGCAGCATTTCAACATGCACATGTTCACCCTGGAGCAGCGGTTGTACACCTCCGAAGGCATCACATGGGATCACATACAATACCAGAACAACCAGCACATCATTGACACCCTGGAGCGCAAGCCACTTGGGCTCTTCTGCCTTATCGATTCGGAGTGTTTGATGCGCTCAGCCACCGATGCCACGCTTCTTTCCAAGATTCAGAACTCTTACAAAAACTCCAATGTCATTTCAAAGGCATCGAGGTTTGCAACAACGGAGTTCAAGATCTCTCATTATGCAGGGGACGTAACCTATAGTGTGGACACATTCCTTGAGAAGAACACGGACAAGCTTCATGCTGATGTGGTGGCCTTGTTCAAAGAGTCGAAGCTGGAAATGGTGAAGAAACTCTTCACCGACCCTCGCTTTTCACCTGAGACCAAGCCAGCTGCAGGTGGTCCGCGGCCACTGCGTCGTCAAAGTACACGCACCGGTGCCGACGACCAGCGCCGAGAGCGGCAGAATGTGACTGTCAGCATGATGTTTCGGGAGCAGCTGGATCGACTTGTCGAGGATCTCAACAAGACGAACCCTCGCTATGTCAGGTGCATCAAGCCCAATGCTCTCAAGCAGCCAAGCGAACTGGATTCCCTGGATGTACTGAGGCAGCTGAGATGCGCGGGCATGCTGGAGTCGATTCGCATTCGCAGAGCAGGCTATGCAGTGCGCAGGCCTTTCAAGGAGTTTTTCTCTAGATTCCGGATCCTGGCACCGCACTTAGTAGCCACAGGGGCTGACCCTGACTACAGAAGCCTGTGTCAGCGCCTTGTGGCAGAGGTCGAAGAGCGACTAGGCAAGCAAGGCGTTGCTTTAGAGGAGAAGTCGTGGCAGATGGGCCAGACACGTGTCTTCATGAAGGAGGATCTTGAGAGACGCATGGAGCAGATGATCGTGGAGTCTGCTAAACGACAGGTGCAAACAATTCAACGATGCTGGCGAGGCTTTGCAGACAGGCGGAGGTTCCGGGTATGGCGTAGTGCAGCACTCCAGTTCCAGGCGGCTGCTCGCACAGTCATCAGGGCCCGCAGCTTCCAGAGGATTCGAACAGCAGCACTGGACGTCCAAGCCTCCATGAAGGCTGTGCTGGCCAAGGCACGTCTGCAAAAGCAGAAGGAAGCCTCCATCGAGATCCAGGCAGTTCTACGAACAGCTGCGGCACTGGCGCAGCTGGAGCAGCTGAAGCAGCTGAAGCGCCAGGCAGCGGTCGAGGCGGCCGCTGCTGAGGCAGCAGCGGCGGCGACGATGCAAGCGGCTGCGGCCCAGTCGGCTGCTGCTCTGGCGGCTGCTGCCCAGGCGGCCGCTGCGGAGGCAGCCGCAGCCCAAGCCCAAGCTGCGGGGGCTGCGGCGGCGCTGCCAAAGCCGGCGGCCGCGGAACCGGAGTTCGTTGTGGACCCGGGCAACACGCTGACAGTGTCCGCAGATGGGGAGCGCTCCCCGTCCAAGCAGGGAGTGCTCCCTGAAATGCAGCGGAACGAGAGGAAAGAGGACGCTCCGCCTTCAAACGCTTTCGCAGATCTGGAGCTGAGCGCGCGCAAGCTGGAAGCATCGCCAAAGACGGGCCTCCCGCCTGAATGAATGGATGCCCTTTGTGTTAACTTGTAGTTATACACAACCGCGATCCAAGAACGGCAGAAGGTCTGACACCAAGCCGTACCCTCGCAGTTGTTGCCAATCAAACGAATCTGCTGATAGCTGTTGGGGTGTTCTCAGCTGGGTCCCCCTGATGTGGACTTTTTTGGGGTTTCCTGATTTCACACCGCCCGGAGCTGCGAGCTCGGCCGGAACTTAGGCATTGGCACTGTGAACTTGGATGCCAGCATCCGAAATGCGGCGCTGAACCTCGGCGGAGGAGGCGCTTTGGACTCGCCTGGGCCCGAGACTGCAGGGCACTTCAGGGCACTTCGGTTTTCGGGAGGTGGGGTTTAAATTGCTTCGGTCTGGCATGGCCCTGTCATCAGGTTGCGGTCGGAACTCATGGCAAGACTGGAGGGAGGTGCACGGGAAGGAGGCACCACTCTGACTCTCCAGCAAGTAGCAGTTGCTAGACGCACTTTACCTGTCCCTGAAGGTATTGATCCTTCGCACCCACTCAGCAGTTCGTTACGACATGCAGAGGGCCTGCCTTTGAAGGGCCAACTGTTGACGAACGGCAAGTCCTCGCTACAAGGTCTTCCGGATGAGGAGGACTTGAGCTTAAGGTGCTTAACTTGTGAGATGTGGGATGGAGCCACTTGTCGGTTTCGCCGGCAGGATTTCCCGCTGAGGAAAACCATCATGAACCAACGGAAAATCATGGAACAGCTGCAGCAGCAGTTCAAGGAAGCTCTTGTGGTCAAGCCGGGAGAAGAGGAAATCAAGCCTCTCGAGGTGGATGGGGAGGCAACCTGATTTGCACTTACTCCAAGCAACACTGCTCCCCTGGTCTTCTTGAATGAAGCAGGCAAGCCGGGAGCAGATGCAGCAGCTCCAGGACCCGGGCGAATCCCCCCCAACAGAACACCTCTTCGCCGCTAAGCCGCTGCTTTAGAGGTGGTGGTGACTGTGTTGGGCCGGGCAGGATGAAATCAAGAAGCTCCGCAGCACTATCGGAACACTCAAGGCGAGCCTTAGCAGTTGCCAGCAGCAAGAAGCAGCGCGAGCGTCGGAAGCGACCGAGTACCTGGAGAAGGCCCAAGCCCGGTCGGTTCTTTTTTCTCGCAGGGTTTCCTCCTTTCTGCATGCGCCTCGGCACCCCGATGCAGGTTGGTTTGCTCTCTGCCCAGTTGGAGGACATTCACCGGACGCACAGGGAGGAGCTGAGCACCGAGCGGAAGCGGAGCCAGGCCTGCGGGAGCGCTGAAGTTCTGCTTGAGTCTTGAGGCCGCGCCGACATCTCTCTGCTCTCATCTCTCTTAGATGCTTCTTCCTGAGAGGAGCTCCGAGGAGAGGTCGACAGGCTGAGCAAGAGTTTGCAAGACACGCAAGGCTCCACTGCCACTGCTCCGCCTCCAGAGTCTCGCTTCACTGCTGCACGCTCCTGAGAGTTCTCGCAGGAGAGGCTGCTCTCTGGCGGTCGGAAGCACAGCAGGCCACAGTCAGCTTCACTGTTGAGAAGGAGCTGCCAGCAGCTTTGAGAAGCCACATCCTTTGAGTTTCGCGCTGCTTTCACCGGATCCGAAGCTGGGGAAGTCCCGCGCAAGAATGGCATTGTTCATTCAATCGAGCTCGTACCCAGAGTCGAAGACTCTCGCAGGAGCGACTGGAAGAGCTGGAGCGGAGTCGCAAGGACTTCGTCTTGCAGGACTCCGGCCAGTTTGGGAAAGACGGGTGCTCCTCCCTGCAGCTGTCGGCTCCGGAGGAAAGCCACGCGAATTGGAGAGAGGAGAAAGACAGGCCCTGAAAGCGAAGTCGCCTTGAAAGTCCACTTGAAGCAGGCGGCTTGGAGAGAGCAGTCTGCCAGGTTACTCAGAGATCTACAGGCCAAAGACCGAGAGCTGCATGGTCTGAAGCAGGCCTGGCACGCAAGTATATGGCAGTGCATCGTAGGCCCTAGGCCTCTCTGCAATGCTCAATTCACTTCACAGGCCCTTGACAACATTGGCTCGAGCCGCGCGCCTCTCGAGGAGCTCCAGAGGTGGGGGGGTACGATGGATTTAAGATCCTAGAAAGTCGCAGAATGTCGCAGAATCCATGAGCTCTGAGGTGGAAGGCCGAGGCTCAGAGACTGCAAAAGCAGGTGGACCAGGCCGATGTCATAACCGATCGGGCCTACACCAGTGCCCTGCGGTTGCCGCAGGCGAAGCGGACTTCGAGAGAGTACGAGTCCGTTCGGGGCTCGGTCTGCCGATTGTGTGCATGTTTCGGTACGTCAAGAGAAGTTCTGGCGCGTGTCTCTTGGAATATCCTGAAGTTGCAGTCGAAATGACATGATGTGTGGTGGAAGACTGTTTCGTAAATAGTCTGGCATCGTTACAGTTATCGTCGTTTCCGGTTAGGTCGGGACGACTTCTCTCCGTCTATGTTCCCGAACTCGATTTTAATGTTGTACTCCAGAATGTTTGCTGCCTCAACCTCTTCCGCCACAGACGTCGTCGAATCGAAATCTCCTTGTCAAGCCTGCGCATTTGCAAGGCTGTTGGACATCTGCAAAACGCAGCAGCGCTCTTGGCAAATGATTGCCTGTACCGGACTAGGTGGCTGATGTGCTCGCAACTGCGAGGCCTCCAGCCAAGGTGGCGAAAGACAGGCCCTAGAAATACGCCGTCGTCTCAGACTTGTGCAATCCGTGGGACCTTTCATACTGCAAAATCAATTGCGAGAAGGGAGTGTTCCCGGCAACTGCTCGAACCTGCGTCCGCGACGGCATTGGGATCATGCAGCTACGATCAGTGCTGTGAGGTGTCAAGACCCTGCAGTCTCAGACTCAGCATCTGTCCCGCAGCCAACTGCTCAATTATGCAAATTGAAGGACACAGCACCTCTCAAACGAGGCAGAACTCGGAAAAGCAGGCGCAAGAGCTGAAGAAGATGGAGCTTGAGAAGAAGGATCTGAAGGCCTCCGCCTTGAACCTGCCCTTGACACCGCTCCTCTGGGTCCTGTGGGCAGGATCAGATGGAAAGTATCCGGACTGCATCTGAGTACTTTCAGAGCCAGTACAAGGCCTGAAACGTGCCGATGCCTGTCGTCGGGAGACGATCTGCTTTGTTTGCTTTGTGTTCCTGAGAGGCCACGTACGCCGAGTTGCAAAAGCAGAAGGCCAAAGCCGCCGAAGTGACGGAGGGTCCGGGGCCAAGGAAGGCTCCAGCGCGGCTCGGCGGCTCGGTGGCTCGGCAGTGGCGGAGATAGAGATTCCAGGCTTGCAAGGACGCCTCCGTGAACTGCAAGCTCAAGTGGCCCCGGCTTCTCTACAAGGCTCCCTGGCCTTGACTCTACGAGCGAGTGTTGAGTCGCAACGCTGGAACAGGCCGATCCGCAACTCGGCAGCACGAGGTCTTGAGTGTTGCTTTGCGACCAGCTATTGCTGATCTCTATCTCCAGGCTGGTGGCAAAAGTGTCATTTCTGTGGAGGCCAGGCTCAATAGCGAGTGATGGACTGGTCATTCACGCGCTTACTCTCACACAGAAAAGATGCTTCACATGTTGATAGCACCCACACCTCGTTCGATCCGCTTCAGGCAAGTCCAAGCTTACGCCAAGCGCGGCAGGCGCCCTCTTTGCTGCAGTTTCTTTTGCATGATTTTGCAGTCGCACCTGAATATTCGATTGCATCCTGTCACGTTGCCGGTACAGTGTGCGGCTGGAGGGGAGCGGGATAAGATCTGCTCAGCTGCTTCAAACTGTCTTGGGAATTCGAGCGTGCTAGGAGCAGCCCGAAATGGGCAGAGCTTCCTTGCCCGATGCTCAGAGTTGCCATGGGCGGCATGCAGATGATCCCACAGACTGCGGCGTGCCAGCGTTCTCTGATGGTTTGAGGCATCTGTCTGTGCATGTCGCATGCTGTCATTCGCACCCAGCGAGGCTTTCAGAGCTCAACCTGAGCGGTCAATTCAGGTCGTAGCTCAGACGCACCGCGCATTGTGAACACGGAGACGCTTTGACACACATGCATGTTGAAAGTCGGTTAAAAGCGACTAAGACGTCTTCTCATAAGTTCTCCCACAAAGGACAAGATCAAAGCAGGTCATTGTTCGCTCTTTGCAGCTGCCCAGCTGCCAGTGTTAATGCCAGAGAGTGGGCTCCGATGCCACTCTGGACGTATCACCCCGACTATCGGAATCGATTCAGCCTGTACATAGACCTAGACCCAACCAGGAGATCGGACGCTCCGGTCGGCTTGGATAGAAAGCCATCATCAGCGTGCCTGGACCTTCTGCTCCTGATAACTTTTCGCGACCGGTAGAAGCTCTGGCGTCGTCTTGTCCTTGCCTTGCTTCACAACGCGCCTCACTGCAGCTTATCGTGTTTTTTCCCACGGCGCCCGACAACACGTTCTACACATGTTGAGCCATCCTGGACCCACCCAGCACGGCAGAAGTGTGAGCATCCATACTCCAACGGATGGCCGTTAGCTGTGTCCTCCATGGTCTTCATGCCCAGCAGCAGTTAGTCGATAACCCCATAGTCAAAGGGGTGAGGGCCGAGCGCCGAGTGAGCGAAACTTGAGGAAACCCCAGCACTCCGGTGTGTCTCAGCTGATTTACTCCGAGTCGCTCTTGATACGCTCCAGACAGAAAATCTAAGGGCTTGCGGCATGGCTGAGATTAAGCGCAGCTTCAACGATGAGAAGCTCGTCCCGCATAGAAGAAAGGTTACATACAGAGCTGCACTGGAGCCTGGAGCGAAGGATGGGCTTCCTCAAGCGGGAGGACACCACTTGCTATTCAATCAGGCCAGGCTTTGTGACTGGTATGACGCTCGGCCACGATCAGTAAAGAAAGCGATGCACTGCTCTAGCGGCCAAAGTCCACATTGTATTGGTGATAAAGCAGGCGTCTGTACGTTATAGCGAGCTTCATCACGAGAAGCTCTGATTTATCTATGAGGAATGTGCCTGGCAAGTTCTATGTCAACGACCAGCTGCTTGGCTCAAGATGCGTGTCGTTACAAAAAACTATGGGTTGCCATGGTTTGTGGTTCCTAAGCGATAGGGCGCTTGAAGGAATATGTGACTAAACGACAAGACTGTGTGGGGTTGCAGTTTGCTTGGCTTGGCTTGCTGTCGCAAGGCTTGAGCGCTTGATGATCGATGAGCTGCGCAGCTTCAGCAGGCAAGCAATAAGCATGTTGTGCCGGCCAGTTCGAAGTTCTATGCTAGTTGGCGGAGGGTGCCGGCTGCTAGATTGCAGAACGTTGCAGGCAGTCCCACAATGCCGGAGGATTTCTGCCAGCTGTGAAGCAGATTGGGAATGTGGCGGCTTTGCCAGTGCCTCGAGCGACTGCACAGTGACCTCCAACCTCCTCCATGCAAAGCGAGGCCTGGCATTGTGAAGTATTCCATCGGCCTCCCTGCAACTTGGCTCAAGCAGAGGGTGTGTCCTGCAGCAACTGTGCTGCAAATTGCATGTCTTAATCAGGACATTCACAGTGGATACGGCTTTGCGATCGGAAACGTCGCTGCGTTTGACATGGGTCTGGACCTTCCATGGTGGAGTGAAGTAGGTACAGAAGGCTGCCGTTGCTGGCCGCAGCACTTGCTGTGGAGTCGAGGTCTTCCAGAAGCCGTTGTTTCTCCTGGCGGTGTTGGGTTCGATATCAACTGTCCGGTCCCGAAAGTCCCGACACAGTCACAGCCGGAGTTCCGAAAACAGCCCGATCGATTTTCAGGCGGTGTGAGGCTCGTGCGAACGAACCTGCTCTATTCGGATGTGCAGCCGGTGAAGGTAAGTCATGTGCACACCCATCACACGCCGAGCACTTGCAGTCTAGTCTTTTAAAGTGCATGCCAGGAGACTCTGGCTCAGTCGCTCTTCGATCACATTCCCGTCGGCTAGATCCTCAGCAAGCTGACGGTATCATCGCAATAAACGGACCGCGACTCTCCAGGTGTCGGCTCGATGGGTATCATTCCTACGAAAGAGCAAGATCTGGAGGAGGCCCGTTGGCGCGAATAGATGAGGGTGGGTTTGGTTACGACGGCCTTGCGCCGCCGATTGCAGAGAAAGAAAGCAAGTGGGTGGATTACCACATCATGCGAGAGGCACTACAGCTTGGCATCGATTTCTCACTTCGAGAAGGCATGATTTCACTCAGTTGCAAGTCTACGGAGCCACTTGCAGTCTGAGCACCCCGGGCTTTCCGCTTGGGCAACGCAGGCTACGCTTGGCCCGAGGACAAGGAACACTGCGAGGAGCCGCTGCCCAAGTCTGGTCGGTTCTTGCCCAGCAGGGGGTGGCTACATCCACTGTGATCTTCCGAACACTTCGTGCGGCAGGTATGGCCGCATGTTGAACGCCGACCCCGGGAAGGTTTCCAGCCGAGCAAAGAAGCCCGCGGCTGAGCGCCGCAGCGGCAGCTTTCTACCTTCTCGCAAAAGAGTCGGCTTCTTTCGAAGAGAGCCGCGGAGCGTTCGCTAACGCGAGGCGTGGGCTGCCTCAGCTGGGCACCCTCGGCGCAGGGAACCACTACGCCGAGATCCAGGCGGCCCCACCCCCCCCCCGCACATATGTGGGGTTCCAGGGCCCCATTGCTTCCTCGGCTTCAAAAACGGCTTGTGTGAGGTGGTTGATGAAATCTACGACGAGTTTGTCGCCAAGAAGATGGGCATTGACCAAAAGGGACAGGTATGTGTTCGGACCTCACTTAAGTGAGCCTCTGCTGTGTTCTCGGAGTTGAGAGCTGCCTAGGTCATGATCCATTCTGGCAGCCGTGGACTGGGACATCAGGCTTCTCTCTGCTTAGTCTCGGTCTTGGAGCCGTGTACGGCGTGTACGGAAGCAAACAGGTTGCCACCGACGCCTTGGTGGACATGGAGCGGGCGATGCCCGGAGCTGAGCGTGCCATTCGCCATGTCGTCGAACCCCGTCGTGCTTTACGAGAGGACGCGGGACAACATCCGCACCAATGATCGTCAGTTAGCGTGTGCCCGAATACAGTCAGTGCAAAGCTTAGAAGAGTTCCGCACAATTGCCGGATCCTGGAAAGACTCAAGGGTTAATGTTGTATTAAGGACGAGGGCCAGAACTATTTGAAGGCGCGTTGAAAGAAGCGCCGTATTGTGGTTAAGGGTTCTTTCGCTAGGCTTTGGGATGTCTCCGGCCACTGCCAGATCTGCCAGGGCATGTCCGCAGCTGCCAACTACGCCTGGGTGAACCGTTCTTCGATGACTTTCCTGACACGCCAAGCTTTCGCCAAGGCTCGCGTAGAGACGTGCGGTTATAAGCTTCAGCTCCGAGCAGCTCGACCATGGCCCAGGTCTTCAATCAGTCTCCTGAAGATCTGGATATGCACGTTATTTACGAGCCTTAATTCGCCTTATGCAAGGGACAGTCGTCACGGCGAGCGCTCTTTCTCTGAACTAGCATGGCTCAAGAACGCGCCCAGGATGTCTCCCACAACATTGCCAAAGTGGAAGAACATTTCGTGACTTGGCGACTTTCCGAGGGCTGGCTAATTGGGCAGCAGCTGTTCCGACCATGGCTCGTTGATGCGATTCGGAATCAGGCGTTTCTGTGGAGAGAGAGTCTTACATTGCAAGATCTGGCGGTTTGAGCTGGTGTAGTAGCCTGCAAGCTCATGGTGCTTGTTTACGACCTTCGTCCGAACTCGGGAGATCTTAGACGGGCATTCCTTCAGCTGTCGGGTGAAGGCTTCGGGCTTGACTTTGTGCCTTGCAAGGTAGATGGCCAGTGCAAGCAGCTGCTGGTGCACAGAAAAGGCTCCACCCGAGCCTTTCCGCATCCTCCTCAGTCTCTACGATAATGGATGACAAATCCACGAGCACTGCCTGCCCAGGCCGCACCACCCATTGATTCCTGTGGATTACCAGTTGACCGGCCAGCCCGTCATCGTAGGAGGTGGGACTCGCGGCTTAAAAAAATTGGACGACAACTGTCGGACCTGTCGAAAGCCGTGCTGAGGTACCATGGGAACCTGCTCGTACGTGCTGACTGGTACAGACAAAGGCCCCCATGATCCAACAGCCATGAGACTAAAGCCGGACTTGAGTAAGTGTGTGAGTTGGACGCAGTGCTCGTGGTTTCGAAAAGCCGAGAGCTGCATGATGTCCCGCAGAGGCATGAGAGAAACCTTTGGCAGTACCTGCCATGGAGCTGGGCGCGCTTTGAGCATCGGCCCAAGTCCTGTGTTGGCATCTTTGCAAGCTCAATGCTGTCAGTCAATTGCAGAGTGTGCGTGTTTAGAGAGAGCTCGTCAGGTAGGAACAAGTCGCGGAATAATCTCGACTATGGTGACGTCCTGAAGAGACTAGAGGAGACTGGATTTAGTTTGACCTGTTTGGTGGTCCTACTCTCTTCTGCAGGACATGGGCATCTCGATCCGAGTCGCCTCACCCAAGCTCATCATGGAAGAGGCTCCAGAGAGCTACTTGACTCGGACCAACAGCTCCTTGCTCTCCTCATTCTGCGTCTCTGCATTTTCGGCGCTTAGGCTACAAGGACGTGACGCAGGTGGTGCAGACTTGCCCCGGCCCCGAAAAGTGGGTCCTTTCCGCAGTGTCTGCACCTGCTTCGGCGCGACGGCGGTCCCAGCGTTCCTGCAGGCCACGATGCCGGCATCTCCAAGAAGGCTATCAAGCTCAAGCCGGTTGCTGTCGTTAAGGGTTAAAGCCAAAGCTCCCCGCCTGCACTGGAACTTTGCCTCCTGCTCTGAAGTCCTTTTCTTCATGCGTCGGGTTTCTGTCCGGGCAGCAAGGCCAGCTACTGAGAGCCTCATACCAGCGGCTCGTGCCGAAGCATTAGAAAAAGCTGGTCAATCATTCAACGGGTGTCTGGTACATGAAGGGCAGCTTGCAGATGAGATGTCCTGGCATCCCGCCGCGTTTCAGTTGACTCGCTCATCTCATGCAGCCGAAGCCAAGCAGCCAAGTCTCTTCATTGCCTTCAGAGTCCGTGGACCGAACACTGGAAGTTTATGTGCACAGGTCCAGCGGTGATTTTATCAGTCTCTGAGAGCAACCGATCACAAGCTGCTTTGCAATGCAAGTCGGAACATGTAGCACACACAAGTGACTTTGTGAATCATTAGTTCCACTGTCCCTGTGATGATCCGCAGAGTCCAACACATGCCAGCACTCGTTTGAACGACGGCGACTGTGCCACACTTATTCTGTTGGTGCTGTTTGGATAAATCTGGCATACATGTGAACGATTCGCTCCCTGCGCTGCTCAGGTGGAGCCATGTCTGTGGCAGACCATGGCGACTTGGAGTGCAACATCTGCTTCGAAACCCTGGAGTCCAGGCCGATAGCGAGTTGAGACGGGCGCAGCTCCATTCAGACTTGACAACAAACCAAGTACTGCCAGGGGTGGTGCAGCCAGGAGCTTGTTGGTAGACCAGCTGTTGTGAGGGTTGCACGGGGTCTTCATCTTGCCGCAGAGGTTGCCCTTCCGTGCAATTGCAAGATTGCCTACTGTGCACGATGCCGGGATCCTACCGCGTTGTGCCAGCGGCTGCTCTGTCCGACTTGCCACTGCCCTTCTCGAGGTTGGGACAGATCGCTGGCCGCAAGTATGTCGTCTTGCGGACGCTCGACCTAAAGAGATGTCAGGGGGCAAACTTAAGTATGGATGCGAATGTTCTTCATCTTGCCAAGATGTGGTCGTGCAGCTCAGGCATGGCATTGTGCCCCTCCTGCCGATGTTGTATGCAGGCATGCAGCAAGCATGCCCATGCCCTCTTGTCGTCAAGTTCGCCAGAGCTGGCAAGGTGGACTTCGATCCCAACAGCTGCCAGCTAATATTCCAACGATCTGCAGACAAAGGCTTCTGCGGGACCACATTTCTGGGTTAGATGTATGCCTTGGTTTTGAACGTGGAACCATCTGACACTATGAGTAGGCTATCCGGCCATCTGCACGTGTCAGTTTAGTTGTAGCGTGATGATATCCGGAGCTGCTTTCATGACATCCTGCAGGCTCTTCAAGCACTTCTGCAAGAATGAGGGAGCGCCGCCATAAGCAAAGCAGCTGTGACGACATCGGGTATCAGCAAAATACTGCAAAGCCGCTGCAAGGGTCGAACGGACCGACAAGTCTCTCTGCTTTTCTGCAGGATTTGCGGACCCATCTTTATGATCAGGCTCATGCACGCACTCTGCCATTGCAAGGGGTGATTCGAGTCGGAGCCCCCCGCTGCAGGCCAAGCCAGTGCAGATAAAGTTGCTGCGGGCATATGGCACCAAGGCATCGGGGGATTAATTGCACTATTTGCACTGCAGACAAGCCTGTTGCTTGTTCGCAAGAACCGAGCGGGATGAATGAAGCAGCAATCAAGCCTTGTTCTTCTCTTGTCGTGTTTCCTCCGCGGGTACTCGGTATTCTCACCTCGGACACCGATTCCAGGTGGGTCAGCCTGGTACGAGGACTTCCAAAGATATGGAGACTGAGGACTCGGCATACGGGAATGCCTGGCATGTGCCGTGAGCATACGTCCGGCGAGGTCAGGGGCAGTACTGTAGCCAGCCAACGATAAGCCCAATAAGGTTCTGGGCTAGGCCCAGTTTCAGCTGAGGGTGACGAGCAGGCGTAGCTGTTCTGGGCTAAGGTCAGGGCACGTGCCACCTGCCGTACATTGACCTTTTAGCCTTCGACTGACCATGAAACTGTTGTGGTTTAAACGCCTTGGCTGCAAACATCACGAGATCGTGGCTATGATTAGTGCCCGTCTTTGCAACTGTATACAGTGCTTGACTGCTGAGTTACTAGGTTTCTGCGGGCTGGGGTGGTGGGGATTTAGGAAAGAAGCAGCTGCAATGGTCCCAATTGCAGCAGTGAAGTCGCTCGTAGGACCCCGTGTAACGGCCAGGAGCATCACGTCAGCAGCCGCAATCTTGCAGTCTTGCCAGCATTCGATCCCATCTGCAAAACGAAGTGTACGGATGTCGTCTGTGAACAGTCGCCCCAGCAGCGCTTCTGGAGGACCATGCCCCTCGTTGTGTTTGCGGCAGCAAGCTCACCTGCACAAGCGTGCGCGACCGCGTTCGAAGTTTCGTGGAGGAGGAGGGTCTTGAGCTTGCAAACAAAGTGCTTTCCGGGCCCTTTCTCCAGAACCTCCCACTTCAGGAGACACCGATTCCGGTGACAGAGAGCGTACCCTGGCCTGGCTTTTCATGGGGATTCTGTGTATGATTCGGCTGTCCCAGCCAAGGAGCTCGAGCATTTGCTCCGCAGCCCCCCGATTATGTGCGATATTTGCAACTCTCAGGCTCGGCAGCGTCGCTACGTACCTCTCTCTCTCTCTCTCGCGCGGTTGTGGTTCTGCGGAGCAAGTCTTCGTGAGGTGGCTGCTTCGGCCGACGTCTGGACCTGCGAGAACGGGCGCAAGACGGTTCTGCACGCCGTCGCATACGATGTTTGCCAGGCCTGGCCGTCTTTCCTGTTACACTGTTGCCAAGTGTCCGCGGGTTGTGCGGTGCAGCTTCGTCAGGCCTGTTTCAACTACTATGCGTTTGGCACAGAGAGGCTGGACCTGCCACAGCAAGCCACAGCATCACCTACTGGTGTGAGCTTTTGCCCAGCAAACAATACTTGTCATCTTCGCCCATGTGGCAGCGAATTCATTTTGTTTTTTTTGAGGGAAATGCCCGGGCGTGTATGGTAGCAGATTCCGTATCAGCTTCCTGCTAGCCAGGGATCATGTTTTGTCAAAGTTCCTAGAAGCAGGACATACCCACATGATTCCAAGTCGCACCACCGAAGAATCATGTCCAGTCGCAGGCGTGCCCATTTTAACAAGCATTTGGGGTGCTGGGCTCCTGCCTGATCAGGGAAGTTGTGAATGACGAGGAGGATGAGGAGGAGGAGGGCAGCGATTACATGGACTCCGATGATTCTGAATCCGAGTCAAGTGACGACGAAGAAGGCCGGCAAAATTGATACAAGGTAAGGGCTGACAAAAGTGGCGTAAAGCAGGATTCAGACGTGTGGGCCAATGCTATTGGACACCTATAGGCAGAACGACTGATAGCTTATTCCTCGTGCTACCATTTCATAGTCCCAAAGCAGTGAACTAATATCGGTAACTTACCAGTAGATCAATCGGCCGGTGAGGGAGCTGATGCAAGCTGAGTTCGGGGCCGAGTTTAGTTAGTGCATAGCTTCTGCAGCTAGACGAGTACGCACGTAATTCTGCGTTGGAACCGTGGTCGTTGTTCTAGTGGTGCTGCTGCTTTGCGGCTGATGGTTCTGGAGCTCGGAATCCAAGCCCAAGGACAGGCCAGGTTATTGCCCAGAATAGCGGACAGACCCAAACGAGACATGATTAACCACAACAAGCAACTAGTGCCAGCGACAACGGTCAGGTAACAGTGATAAGCAGGTAACATTGGACCCAAACCTTGCATGCTCTTGCCCTCTAGATCTCTCCTGCCCATGCCCCCGAATGTGAATGAGTTGAATTGTGGGCGTGCACTGAATCTTGGCCCCAAGCAGGTTGTGATGTCTCCGATGGACCAACCTCAAGTCCGAATGCTTGCTGATCGCAGTCTTAGGTTTGTTTCGCCAGCCTTTAATCTTCGGATCGGTCGGAGGACAGATCTTCCGCTGCTACTCAAAGCTAGCAGATGCTGCGCCGCGCCGGTTGAACGCTGTTCTCTGTCCATCCAGTCCTGCTGGTGCGGGGCCACCACACAAGGTGGTTTGGCCAAGTGGTCACACATGTTCTGCAAGCGCCTGCATCGCAACAACAGCGCAGTGCAGGAGTCTCGCGCAAGAGACTTTCGTGCTTGCCTGAAGCCAAGCTCCAAAATCGGCTGAGACGGGTTACGCGACCTGCAATACTTCCCACCATGCACCGCGTATTTTCAGAAGCGGCGGCACCTGTATACACCAAGTGAACTCCCTTCAAAGTAATTAGGCGATGATGAATTCCCTTCATCGCCAGCTCTTTCTAGATCCAGAATCTCTGGCTCCCGGGCTGTCCGCATGTTGCAGAGTTGTCCTTGGGGTGACTGTTTGTGTTTCACGCCCGGTGTTCATAGTTGAATATGGGCCCCATGCCACCGAGAATGTGCTCCGGGAGGCTGAAGATAAGCTAAAGGCTATTCCGCATAGCATCGTCACGGATCGTCCGAGTGCACTTTGCTGAGACGGCTCAATGACACCAGCATGGCTGCACACTGGTGCTCTTGTAGCCGCTCGAGCCTACTGCGCCGTCCCTCGCTTGGGAGGACATGGACTTCTAGCTGGGCTGGACGGCAACTTGATGCAAGAGTTAGCAACCTGGGAGGAGCGTGCGGGCACCGTAATTTCGCGGTTCTGACTGCGCTCAGCCTCTGCAGTCAGCCGAAGCGACTATGTCACAGAGTTAGAAGGTTCGTGCGTCGGCGCAGCGTTGAAGCGACTCCCTTGCAGAAAGGGTTCAGCAGCAAGACGATGGATCCGGCAGAGCAACTAGCCATTGCCGCAAGAAAGGCCGAGCAGCTTGCAGCCACTCTGCGTCAAGGAAGGCGTCCCAGGGAGGTGACGGTGGATCCCGAAGTTGCTGCCTGTGCGGCTGAAATTCGACAAAGCATTCTGTCGATGAAGCAGCCAGTGAGTGCTGTCGTGGCAGCAGACCTTGTGGCCGGCCTCTCTGCTTTTGCGAAGATGAGGATACTGCACACAGATATGTTGAACAGCTTGAGGGACTTACCGCGAAAGACTTGGATGGACTTGTCAATGCCGATCGTGGCTGAGGCGGTGACATCTTACGCCCAGTTTCAGCTAGAGGACCCCGAGTTCAATCAGTACTTGTCCGATCTCCTCGTCTCTCGCGGTGTGCAGAGGATAGGGGCAGTGAAGCTCGCAAGTCTGACTTACGCCGCGGCAACTCTAAATTTGGGGGCGTTCGAGGGCGTGCATTCCCTGTTTGCGGAAGCCTTTGCTAGAGCAGAGCTTGGCAGGCTGGGAACCTTCGATCTCTCCAGGGCTCTTTGGTCTCTTGCAAGGTTGGCACCCGATGTCTACGCCTCCGACACGCCGCCTTGGGCCTCCAAGCTCTCGCAGGCGCTGCTCCGGCAGAAGAAGCCTCCCTTTGGTTACAGCTTGGGCCAAGTGCTCTGGGCCCTACCGAGGCTGGGGTTGCTCAAGGACTCCGAGACTTTGTGGGACAAAGTGAAAGGCCAGGCCGGGAGAGAGGCCTATGCGGAGAAGCTACGACAGGCGGAGAAGTCCAGCCAAGCAGAGCTTCTGCGTGGCCTCGCAGGAAACTGCGAAGCTGCCGGTCTGCAAGCTGCAGTGCTTAATGCAGCAATACTGCGTGCCATGGCCGCAGAGCAGAAGTCCGCCGCGGAGCAGATCTTGCAGCTCATGGCTGACCGGGACCTTTGGACACCTGTCACCTACCGCCTGGCTGCTAGACTCGGGAGCTCCATTAAGGGATCCCCAGCAGCACCAGGATTAACGTCACCTGGCCAACGGGCCCACAAGTATGTTCGGGCCTTGTATCATGCCCTGGCGAAGGCCAAACTTGGCGATGCTGCATCTGCGGCCGCTGCCCTCGAGAGTTTCTCACGAAGAAGTAAGCGAGACTGGTTAAAGTTCGGAGCTGCAGACGAGAAGGGCGAGGTTCTGGAAGAGGCTTGGAAAAGCCTGAGTCAAGGGAAGCCGCGCTTGGCTTTGGAGTTCGGGACCTTCCTTGGCTATTCTGCAACAAAGATGGTCCGGCAACTCGGCAGGGACGCTCGGGTAATCAGCTTTGAGATGGACCCAGAAGTGGCGTGCCTGGCCATGAACTTCGTGGAGCTCGCAGGGCTGAGTGACGTGATCGACGTGCGCATCGGTCAGTGCGAAGATCTCGTCCAGCAGCTGAAAGAAGAGCTTCCACCTGGCTCTGTCGACGTTGTGTACATGGACCACAACCAGATGACATATCATCAAGACTTGTCCCAGCTGCAAGAGAGCGGCCTGCTTTCGAAGGAGGTTCTCTTTGCAGCCACGCAGTCGCTGAAGCCAGGCGCGCCCCTGCTACTCTGGAATCTGCATGAGGCAAAGAAGGCCGGCATCTTCTCTGAGCTGGATATTGTGTCTTCACCCGATTGTGGGTTCAAGGAGATGGAAGACTGGACTGTCCTCGCCAAAGCTACGACCACGAGGACGAGAAGCTTAAAGCGCCGTCAAGCAGTCACGACCTCCAAAGCTCCCCGTGAGCTCGCACTTCTTGCTGCAGAGTGCAACCTGATGCGCTGGCGCACGGCGCAGGGCATGGTCGATGAAGCACGGTGGAACGAGTTTGTGCAGTATGTGCGGGATGGCATGCAGAAGTTTGCAGGCATCACGAGCACCCGAGACTACTGGCCACAACAGCGGTGGCGAGATGCTGCTCGGAAACACACTTACGAACGCCTCGACTACTGATCGATGCTGCGCACCAAAGCCAACATGCACCACGTGCTCTGCATATCTCTGCATCCTTGCTCTTTCAGCGAAGTCAAGGAAACTCGTCCTGGTCTATCTGCCATCCGGGCATTCGCACGCATTCCCGGTCATTCTGCTTCGAGCAAGGTCCTGGAAGCTTGAAGAGATTCGTTGCTGCCTCCAGTTGTGCAACACGTACGTCTCTGGAAGTCAAGGCTCACCGTCAAGACTCTGACACAGCTTGTGCTCCTGATGTGATGGCGCATGCACAAATCGCAGAACAAGCTGGTAAGTCCGAGTGTGCGAAGCTATGTGCAGTGTCAGCCTGACTATGCCGTAGCAGTCCGGCTCGAAGTGAAAATCGCAGGGCTCGGTGATTCCTGAGGCAGCCTTCGACTGCAGGAAGTCACAGTCACACGTGCTTTCTTGGGAGGATGGTGCTTCTGGACGTAAAGAGATCGGAGAAGAAGAATGAGTTCATGTACGAGACAACAGTGAAGGCAAGCCGCCTATTGGCTGTGTTCTGCGACGCTACACTATGCAGGCTGTACAAGCATGTAGAAGCCGTCAAGCTCACGAACCTCTTGCTGTGCTGACAGCTTTCAGATCACTTTACTTACGAACACGTCGGCTGCAGATTCTGCACTTTGACAGATTTTAAGCCGTCAAAGCGCTTCGATGTTCAGGGGAGTGTTATATCTGCTTTTGCCGCCGCAGCACCAATTCGGTACTAGCACAGTCCAAAAGGATCCAAAAGGGGGGAACCTGTTTCCTGGCACCAATTTCGATTAAACTCAAGAAGAATTCCGAGATGAAGCGGTTGAAGCTCAAACACCCGGCAGGCCAACGTTGGAGACCTCTTGAAAGAACTCTGCGAGCTTCACAACATGAGGTCCAGATTCACAGTTTGCAAGTCGAAGGTGATGCTAATGTCCCTGCGAGCTTAGCACGTGGGAGGCTCAAAGTCCAGAGGCTCTCCTTTGCATGCAAGGTGGGACTGTCTTGGCAAGACGTGGTGTAAGAGTGTGAGAGCTTACTGCCAGGAGCTGGCGAAGCACGGGCCCCTGAGACCCGAGGAAACTCGAGGAATCTCCGAGGCGGGCGACTTTTAGCTTGCCCTTGGAGGGTTGCCGCATTTGCTTATGTGGCTCAGGACCTCAGCAAGGTCACAGAGCTAGATGTGAATGCGTATGGGCAGCCTACTAGTCGGAAGCCTACAGCAAGCAGCGCTACGGTGAAAGCAGCTTTAACAGCGATCTAAGGACCGGATGAGTCTGGTTTTCGCACAGGAGTTCCTCCCCCGCCCGAGGCCGTTCATTCCGCATGTACGGGGTCGCATAATTCTGCAGCGGTGCCATCGGAGTAGTTTCAATGCGTGCACCATCCGTGAACCGCAGGTGGCAGACGTGCTGACTCGCACAGCAGAGGAAGCCGCGGCAGGACCCTCAGCGAGCCAACCACCAAGAACGCGTGCAGAGCTGTCGTGGTTCGTAGAACTCTGCATGCAGAGCGTGCTAGATTTGCCAGTGGGCTTGAATGATACAGGCTGCGGTCGCCTCCGAGTTGGTGCAGCAGCGAAAGTGTGTTGATAAGAAGGCAACGCAGCAAACGAGCGTGCTGCAGCAGTTACGATGATGCGATGCGGTCTGGGCTGACTGGCAGGTGTGCCAGACGCAGATTGACAACATGCGCGGTGCGGTCATGTGCCGTGGAAGCATATATGCCATCAACTGTCATGGACTCCTGTCGCACCACGTGCCTTCTGTACACTCACGACTCAACACACCTAGCCAGGATTGCGTATCCTGCCTTCCATCGCTTGCCAATTTATGTTGGCGGCCCAGGAAGCTGTAGTGAGAGTGAGTCCAGAGCATGTCGCATGTCGCTTGTCATCCAGAGCTTTTCAGTAATGGCTCAAGTTGCACTGGCTCTATGACGTGAACGTTTGCAAGAGGATGGCGGGTGACGACTTGCTAGGCAGGCCTTTCGATACAGCAGAGGCTGGAGACAGGCATCAGCTGGAACCCGTCGCCCCGAGTGGCACTGCGAATGGTAGATCGAATGACCTTGCGCAGCAGATGTCAGTCCAGGACTTCTCCGGGTGTTGCTCTACGCTTATGCAGGACATGAAACTTACGGAGCAGAAGGATTTGTTGCCGCTGCTCGTTGGCGTTCTGCAGCACGTTGGAAGCGCAGAGTTTGCACACGGCCATGCACCAAAGAAGCGCAGTGGGGCGTTCAGCAAGTCCGTGAAAGTTGCCTTGGATGAGGCAGAAAAGGTGGAGGAGTGCGAGTCCTTCAGAAGGCTACGCCGTGCCGCTCTCACTTCCGATGCGAGGTATCTGTTCCAGCAGGAGCTGAGCAGCAAGGACTGCGACCTGCACCAAGTCGATGAGGTACAGATGCAGGAGTTGGAGCCAACTCTGCTGAGATTCGGATTCCCGGCCAGCCAGGCTGGGGTACATGATGCCATGCAAGTTCTGAGTGAGCAGCACGTGGTGAAGACGTGCGAAGCTGATGACGAGCCCTGTGGCTTCTGACATCAAAGCTTGCGCCATTCACGGCTCAAGCTCTGTACAAAGTTACGTCGAACTCCCTTGGAGTGGAGATGCCAAGTCAAAAAAGTTGGGCGGAGATTTCTGTTACTGTGATGTTGCTTCGACGGCAGAGCGCTTGTGGACATCGTCTTAGCAAGTCTCAGCTGAGGATCCTGTACGCCAAGAGCTCGAGGACCGGGAGGAGCTTGACGGAGCGTCGGAGTTGCAGTGCGTGCCGGCAGCCGAGCTCTAACTCGCTGTCTCTGGATTCTAGCTGTTAGATGGAAGCAGGAGTTCTGTTTCGGTCTGCATCCGCCAGTGTTCCAGGCTCGAGCCTGCCCAGACCAACTTGTGGTGGGCAGGGAAGGAACTCAGGACCGAAGCCTTGGAGCGTCGAAGCTGTGAGGCCCCGCTTCCGTTCTCAGAGCAGCAGAGCCCCTCAGGATGGACCAGACGCTGGAGCAGTATGTTGGCAAGAATGCCGGCACCCGAACAAATTCAGGGAACACAAAAGCGCTGCCCTGCCCCACGGCCCCACGGCCTTGCCTGCAGGAAAAGACGAAGATCGTCACAAAGCTTGCTCCGAAAGCCTCTGGAGCTCCTGTGCGGGAGCCCCGAATAGACGAGAACACGCACAAGGCGAAGAGGGCCCTGGGCTGTTATGGCCGCGGGTGGCACAGATGTCATGTAAAGGCGATGATGGCCCATTACTACCGAAAGCAGGAGGAGAGCAAGAAGCTCCAGGAGCCAGACGGAGCAGAATAAGCTTTTCATGAACTCGCAATGAATCCAAGGACGACGAGGACGACTCTTACCTGGATTCGGAGTGGGCCAACCCGAAGGCCAGATCGACGGTGTCTGAGAGGAAGCCTCTGAGTGTCTGCAGCGATGACCAGGCTCTGAAGAGTGCCTTGGTTGGCGGCGGAAGGCTGGAAGACAGGAGAGTTGATGAAGACTATAGACGAGTCCTGTAGCAAGGCCCATCTCCTGGAAAACAAGATGAAGAGGCTGATGAGGATAGCGTAGCATAGCATAGCACAGCGTAGCAGCTCAGTGCTTGAATTCAGTGGAGAAGCGAGGCCCCCCTTCCCTCCCCCTTGACACCAGGAAGTTTCTCGACTTGTCAGGCTGCTTGCTTTTCGTCTTGCATGTGGGGGTTTTCGCTCCTGTGCATGCCAGTGCTATCAGTGAAGTGGCCTCCTTGTACAGCTTGTGGTCGGGCCAGATTTGGACACGGTTTCACCCTGCACATACCACAAAGCCTATGTGCTCCCGCAAATGTATCCTTTGAGAGAGGTCCGTTGCGACTCACGTCATGGACCTCAACAGAATTAGCAACGATTGTGAGCTCGGCGCATACCAGGCCCCTTGCTGCAGCCAGGCCGCATTTGAGCATAGGACGATGTAGCAGAGCAGCGACAGGTCTAAGCAGACCTGCGTCGGCTTCATTTGGCCTACATGAAGTCACGAAACTCCGCCAACACCAAGCCAGCTCAACAAAGCACCAGATGTTCAACGTCGACGACACAAGGTGTTCAACATAGTCTGCCGACAGGCGGTCTCGTACTACAACTTCATCAATAGCAAAGCAAGCGTAGAACTGCACGGCGCTCGAGGGACCAAGTATGGATCCGGCGTTGGATTCAATGCAGGCTGCCCACGTCTAATGATGCACATCATATTCGGACGGCATCTACTGGTTGTAGGAGTCACATCACCTGCCTGCAGCGCAGAAGCCCCAAGCTCAGCGTGACAGGAGCTTCTTGTGCAGAAGCTGTTGAGAGGTGTTGGCAGGAGCGCATCGAAGTGCACCCAGGCTCGGCCAAACGTCGCAACCGGCGCAGACGTCGGGGAGGTCGACGTCAGAGAAGGTGTGAGCAGCCTGCAGTTCTTACAAGTATAAGATTGGGTTTTAGGTGATCTTGATCCCATGTGCAGAAAAGCTGCAGAGGACCAAGCTCCAGCTACGTTTCCTCTGCTGAAGGCCATGCAGACGTGACAGCACCGAGCACCCTTGTGCTTGCGTCACCCCTTTGTGGTCTTTGGTGCATTTTGCAGGTATCACCTCCGATTCCTGTTGGCCGTCTTGCCGGGCGATTCAAGGTGCAGCTTTGGCGCGCCAGCCCCGATCACAAGCTGAACCTCATTGTTGGGCCAAGCTCCCAAAGTAGGGAGCCCGGGATCTCCCTCTCTCTGTGCGGTGTCCTGGCACATGAGAGCGTTCCGGTGTGATTTCACCAAGGCGATGTGGTCGTAATGGTGGATGCGAGTCATTTGGGCATCTACCAGGGAGATGAGGCCGGCGGCATGTCAAGTTCGTTACAAGGCGAGTTACTAGTCTACTTATCCCGAATGCAATCGATGCGGTCCCAGGTGCTCAGCATCAACGGTATGTCTGTGCAAAACTTCCGCCATTTTGCTGAACTTCTTGAATCCTGTGGGCAGAATATAGAGATTCAGTTCTATCACAAGGCGGGGAGATGTATCGAATAAATTGTTGAAGACATGTGGGCAAAGCAGGAGCCGCCGATAGCCACGCTTGTGCACGAGGAGACGCGTCGGTTTGTCAGTCAGTGAGACTAGTGACTGGTGGCGGTTTAGGGTCCGAAGGCTGCCTAGCACTTGGGGGGCTTGCAGATGCATTCACGTCGAACTTTGTACCAGGCCAGGATTACAAACTCCATCCGACAGCCTTGGATCATATGTTGAATCGCACCAGCAACACCAACGCCGTGCACCGACATGTATGCAAAGCTCACGCATGTGTAAGCCCATGCATGCTCTGTGAGTTTACCGGCAGAGGTTCAGGCGAATTCTACAAGAAGCTGTTCAAGACAAGAGGATGCGTCGTTAGCGGCGGCGAGTGCTCGCGTGGGTAAGTCGGCGTGCGAGAAGTTGGGTGGGTGGCTGGGTGCCGGGCCTATGGTACTATGGTGGACCCCGGCGGGCTGTTCGGAAACGACATCGACAGGATGACCTGATCGAGATGTGCTGCGGTCCAACTCTTTGCGTGCCGCAGACAATGCCAGTGCTGCGGGCTTACGTGGAAGTTTGCAGTTTAGAGGTTTTTGACTCCAGTGCGCCTACCTTTTGTATGACCGCCTGCAGTCAAGGTGGTGCGACTATTTCTACAACCCTCCAGAACCGAGGCCCTGGAATTGCAGTGTTTTCTTTTTCGCATGCCAATGTGTGCTTCGACAGCGCCACAGCAGTCGCTTCCTTTCCTCTTCTCTAGCGTGTAGAACATTATTCTGTGTGAGTTTTATACTTTCATGACGAAAGTAACAGTGAGTCAGGTGCCGTGCCGAGTCCTGGACGCAGCGGGAGGTTTTGAGTGCCTCCGCAGCGACAGAGACGAGCTCGGAAGGTGCCCTGCCACGGTTCTTACCGGAAGCCTCTTTCGGAAGGAGGGGCGTAGTAGTAGACTGCGCAGCCGTGCGGAACTGCTAGGCTGCTCAGAACTGCTACACGGTAAAGCGTGCTGTGTGCGATTCGCATGGAAGTGTCAGCTGTGCCAGTCAGGTTCGACGTTTCAACTTGAGATGCGCCGCACATCTATGAAGCGCCACGGCTTGCAAGAAGGCTGCAGCAGGTTTAGCACTGCCTCTGAATGCGGATGTGGGTCCATACAAGTAGCCCGCTGGTCCGGGGTGAGACTTGGTTCCAATTGAGGCAGCCCTTCGGGCTTCCACTTGGAGTGCTCAGCCTGCCAGCTGAGCCCTCCGAGCCCTCCAACGTGGCCTCGGAGGTCCGAATGGGTTTGTCGTCTTCGCAACGGGTTGAGGGGTTGATCTCATGTATGCATGTTTTGGTGTTGTCATTGCTGCTGCTGTGCGGTATTTGTTGATATTGTTGTGAATCTTCTGGTGGTGTTAGCACTGTGGTTGTGGTTTTGCTTATGGTTGTGGTGGTTGTTGTTGTTGTTGCTGTTGCTGCTGTCGTTGTCGTTACTGTGGTCGTGGTGCCTGTCGCCGTTGGTTGTGAGCAAACCGCTGAGCTGCATACCCGAGCGAGGCGAAACAAAGCAGGCCCATGCAAATGGCTTGGCATTGCACTACACTACACATAGCACAGCATAGTCCAGTCTAGTACAGTATGGTACATTACATGACATTCAACATGTATGTCGACATGCCTTAGTGAGTGAACGAATAAATCAATCTCGTATGTATGTATGTATGTATGTATGTATGTATATGTGTGTATGCGTGCAGTGCGAGCATCTACATACATCAGACATACAGTTGCAAACACATATTTCGTTTTTCGGGCGCTTCCGTGTATGTGCGTATGCACAACAAGTATGCCGCAGAACCAATGCATGTGTGCGAATGAATGCATGCATGGATGGATGGATGGACGGATGGACGGATAGATGGATGCACCCATGCACGTATGCATACACGTACACGCATGTGTAATGCGCATACAACGTATGCTTCAGCATACGGTGTCTTTCTGACTGGAGTTGCCTGACCCTGATTTTCCGAGGATGCACTGCTGACAACTCCGAAGTGTCAGCAGCTCTGCGTTACTGAGAGTTTCTGCTCCGACCGAGAGGTGCGCCGGCGGGACATCGGGGTTGGTGCTCCCTATTTTAGGCTCGTTCGAAATCATGGCTCTTCCTTTTTCGTCGCTAGCTGCTAGCTGTTAGTCGTGTAGTTTGGCTCATTACTGTTTGACTTTTGGTCTTAGCTCAGCTACTGTGCCTTCTCACCTCCAAGAAATTCATTATTATGTGGCACGGAAGGTCTTGGATGCAGAGATTGGGCATCTGCGAGAAGATGACGAGGAGGACGCATTACTTCACTGCGTTTGATTATGGATGTGTGCAAATCGCAAATATGCTGTTGCTCGGATCCTATCTGTTACTCTTTCGCATTGTCAGCAAGCATGCCCATGCATTTTAGATGAAACCTTGGTTGTATCTGGCGAGCAGCATGCCACGCAGGTCAGCCAGTCCAACGCAGCCAGCATCATCGGGAATCGAGACTGAGCTGCAAGTTCCGACAAATCCAGAATGCACGAGTTGTGGGTTGAACTCCTCCTTGCTGCGGAGAAAGAGGACTATTGGCAGAGGTAAACCCAAAGCGAAGATTGATGGAACATGACAGAAGCTGAGCAGCTCATGAGCTGAGGAGGGCCCGTGGTCGTCTTACAGGCAGTGCCCCTGCTTGGCCTCCATGCAGGTGATGAGTTGCTGAGGTGGGATGAGCTAAGCTGAGTTGCAGTGTCCTGCCTTCGTCGAAGCGCAATGAAGCGACAGGATCAATGGGGAGGATATCTGCGATCTTTACAGCTGCAAGGCAAACCACATCACAGTCACACAGGGTCACACGACATGTCGAATGTTGTGTTGCGAACTTGGGGAGTCGTTGGCAACGCTCGCGGAGGCCGCGCTGAAGACCGCCATACATCTCAGCCTGGAGTTTCGCAGACCAGATACTGTCCCGCGCAGCTTCTGCACGACGGAGGCGGGGATGCCTCGATCTTTGCAGGTGCAGTGGTTTTTGGAGATACGTTCAGGTCGGGTCGCCGGCTCTGATTATGAAGACATCTCGACGGAGCGACGCCTTGGGCCCGGAGCATGGCACTTCCGGGTATGATCGAACCTGGTTCGTCTGATCAGGATTGGAATTCGGCCACCTCGACGAAAGACTGCAGCCGTGAAGTGCCGGAAGAAAGCTGGTACCAAAACTTGCACAGGCCTTAGCACGCGTCAGCACAGGACTGTGTATTGGCGCGGCCTGCTGCGAGCTTTGTGCGAAGGTTGCTCAAGCTGACTTGCAACGACGTCTCCCGACAAGCTGTGCCAAGCCAAGACATGTTGGATGGTTCCATTCAGAAAGGGGAGAATCTTTCGCCAGTGAATTGCTTCAGGTAGACAGCTCCCCCATGCTGGAGGTGCACACACACAGGCTTGGCCCGACTCCAATCCGTCACCTGTTGTAAGACCACCGGCGGGTTGTGTGTCAGGAGTTTCGATCCCCAAGACCTTCGGGA